AAACACACGAGGATGGCAGCAGAAATTTGGAAAATATTTGCTACACGTGCCTCGTTTTCAGAATACTGATTCTGCTTTAACTTGCAACAATGACATGAATCTGTTTCTAAATAAAGTTTTTTTTATATTTCAACTAGATCTCTTTGGAAAGAAAACTGATGACCTCAGTGACCCGGAAGGCGCTGCATCACTGGTGCGTCGGGAGCAGGAGCGAGGTTCCTTCGGCGGCGCGGAGCCCAGGGATGCACGCACGATACCCGCTCGCCATCAGAGCTTCCGAGTCCCCCTCCAAGAGACGTCTTCAGGCCTGTGTGTTGTCTTCTAAGAGTCTTTTCCCAAAACCCAAACTGATCATTCGCTACCAAGTTGATCATAGTATTTACCACTGGGTAGATACTACCACCTAAGACAAATCAATAGCCCTCTAAACATTATTTAAAAAATAAAACCTATAATCTGGCAATTTATCTTGCACTAAAATAGGACCCCCAGTAAGCGCTATACCTCTGAACAAAAAAGTAAATGAGGCCTGCCTTCTTTCTTTACTCCCCACAGAAATGACTAAATAATGTTCTTATGCTATGATGTCAGTTTATAAGGACAAACTACCGGGAAGAAGGAAATGATTGGTTTTAGTATTCAGTAAAAAGTTCAACTTGACTGAAACCACAGATCTACGCAGGGATTTAACCCCCCTAAAAAAGTTGAGCATTCATTTATGCTGCATCTAAAGCACTGGTCCCCTCTTGCCTGCAGGACAAAAGTCCCAAATCCTTAGCTGAGTGTATTAAGTGTCCCTCAGGACACTTTCTCAGCCTCGTTCAGAGAACAAATGTTTATGTAGCACTTGACGTTTCTGCTGGGCACGATTCTAGTTTTGCAGGGAGAAAACCCGGTCCTTGAAGAAAAATAAAGCTGCATTAAAGGGGCAAGGAATAAGGGCATGGCGCTTCGTGGGGGTCAGGGTAGGCTTCTCTGATAAAGCCAAGGGGTGACTCCGGGGGTGTTTGAGAAAACACTGTCTGGACGCAGGAAACTGCAGAGGCCGGGGCCCAGACTCATGTTCACCGTGGAGAGCAGCAAGGTTAACGGGGCTGCCTCGGAGCACGTGGACTGGGAGGTCATGCTCTGTTTTGGTCATGGCTGGACAGAGGTGTTGGCACACCACATGGGGCCTTTTATTCAGGCTATGGAAGAAACTCACATTTACTGAGCCGGGAAGCCGCTCAAGGTTTTGAGAAGAGTTGTAACTTCATAGGTCGTGTTTCTAGAGGATTTTTGCTATAGTGTGGAGACTTGAATGGGGAGGCAAAAGGGTAGAAGCAGTCCCCTTATTCTGAGTGCCTCCCCCAAATAGGTGTACTGCCATATTAGTAGCTAGTGTTTACTGCGGTCCGAGATGTCGCACTTACCATTTAATCCTCAAAACAAAACTGCAAAGCAGTGATTGCAAATGGGCAGGAAAACAAGACTCGGGCAAGCTCAAGCAGCCTATTCGCAATAAAGAACTACGAAGCGGTGGAATCATAGAATCTGCCAGATGCCATAGAGCAGGTTTCTTCCCAGCACACAGAGCATCCTCGCAAGTCAGTAAATTCGGTATCGGACCTTTTTACCACTTGTCTTTGCACGTAGCATCCTCTGCCCAGAATAAATAATCTCGTCGGTGGCAAACTTCATTTTTCTAGATCAACTCAAGATTTTCCTGCTGGGTGAAATCATTCCTGATTTTTCCCAGGCCTCTTTGCTCCATGTTCTGTGCGTGCCTTTCAGCGGTTGCTCCGTCTTCATTTCTCTGAAGCAACTTACCTGGTGGCAGTGTGACTGTGTCTATTTATGCGTGTCCACCACTGAGTGCACCATGGTCCTGCCTTCTTAGTTATCACCCCTCCCCCACGCTGCCCTGCCCTTTCCTCCATCCATCTCCACACACATCTAGCTCAGCACCCGGAGCCAACTGAATGCCAGCTGAATAGAGTAATAAATTACTGAAGCACCAAACGTAGAGATCCAGTCTACTCTATGCACCTTGGACATTCCGGTGCTACATTGTTTTAAAAAATTAAAAAACATTCACCAAAAAAAAAAGATACGTGGTGATGGATGTATTATTGGGGGGAATATTTTTATGGTGGGCATGTATATCAAATCATCACAATGTATACTTCCAATGTTCTTACAATTTTGTCCATTATACCTCAACAAAGGTGAAAAGGTCAGCTAACAGTGGCAATATGAAAAAATAAAGTGAATGGATGTCACCTAGACTTATTCAATCATTTCATAACATATAAAATATCAAATTACATTGTACACCTGGCACATTACCATTACATCTCAATTTTAAGAGTGGAAAAGTGTATACTCGTTATGCTGTTAAGGACTCTGAATCATTTGTAAAATATAGATGTTTAAACAAAACACTGAAAGCGAAAGAGAATCCAAAACAGTGAAACAATGAATAAATAACTTAGTTATTTAAATAACTAAGGAACTAGAAATAATGACTTATTTCCAAATAAATAACTTAGGAACTAGAAACGCATTACAAGATAGATGGAAGGCACGTCACTTTTGTTGGTTTTAATATTAGGAAGACTGAAATGTGCATGTGAGAGTTTTTTTAAATCTATTGATTTTAGAGATTGAGAGGGCGAGGTGGGGAGGCTGAAACACCAATTTGTTTTCCCACTTAACTCAATGCACTCATTGGTTGATTCTTGTATGTGCCCTGGCCGGGGTTCAAGCCCACAACCTTGACGTATCATGACGACACTCTAACCAAGAGCTACCTGGCCTCTTCAAAGGCAAAATTACCAGCACCATGTGAAAGATTCAGAAAAACAAACAGGCTTAATATAAGAATTATACAATCAAAGCTTTCCGATTGCAGGGACCATTCCTACAAAGGCAAATGGCCACCTTGAGGGAACCTGCTGGGGGCAACTGCACTCCACTTCTGATAGTATCAGTCACATAGTCCCAGAACACTTATAATAGTCCCAGATGCCTAGTTCAGAACTATTGTTCCAAAGTTACCAAATATCTTAGATTGTGAAAATACTGATCAAAAGTTTCTCACTGTGCTTGTTTTTGATTTTAAGATTTAGATTTTATGTTTAGAGTCAGTGAGAGGGGAACATTGGCATATAAAAAAAACAAAACATCCATTGGTTGCCTCTCACACGCCCCCAACCAGGAACCTGGCCTGCAACCCAGGCATGTGTCCTAACTAGGAATCGAACCTTTAGATCTGCAGGAGGGTGCCCACCCACTGAGCCACAGCAGTCACACTGTGCCTGTTTTCTAAATGACCGGACATTTTGCTATCTTACCTGTATGCCCTCTTCTGGAATGGGCTATGTAATATGTAGCAAAATGAAAGGACAGAGGAAGACTGTTGAGGCATTTTTTATTTCCCTTAAGTTCTCTCCCACCAAAACCTTTCTAGAACCTGATCAGTTTCTCTGTCAGTTGTCAATTCCTAGTCTCTCAGCACCACCAGTAACACGGTGGGTGTGAAGACACCCGGCACAGAATCAAGTCCGAATCCCAGAATGTACGATCGCCCCTGGCGACCACGCAGGCCAAGCCCAGGCAGGCGATCACTCCCCTTTAGCCCTTCCAAGAGTACCAGGTCACAGGCTAGGTGTCCCGCCAGCACCAGGGTTGCTCGCTCCCTCTGCACCTCCACGGATGCAGTCACCAGCTACAGCTTCTCCAAACCTTGGAGACCAGCTCATCTGGCAAACCGGTAAACTTCTCTGTCATCCAGTTGAACAAGGCTTGAACCCACATTGCAGGACCTCTCCCAAGTTTGTCCTTCTTTAGGTCCTCTCCCTCAGCTCTGTGATACCACACCAAGTTCTCCTATGTCTCTTTTGTCATGTTTGAAACTTTTTAATATTAAATTTCCCTGGCTTAAAACTGTTGTGTGGTTTCGGTTTCCGACTGAGCCCAGAGCAAGTTTCCCATAGCACAAGGCTCAAAATAACATAATACCACCCACTGAATGTTTCCCTGTACTTAGTTCTACATCTGTACATCAGTTTCTAGCTGATGATATGCAAAACACATGCAAATTCAATTATCTTAAAGGCTTGAGGGCTTAGAAAGCTTACAGCTAAGTCATCCAAAATACTTCCTCAAATGTTGATCTTATTTGATAAACAGCAGCAGCAATATTCAAAAAATAACTTCCAAAATAAAACAAGAACTATAATAGCTAAATAAGTGATGAGGGAAGGAAAAAAGAAAGCCAACCCACCAGTTTGGAAGAACGTTAGAATGTTTGGAACAGGAAATACAAGACTTGGTCAGAGCTTTAAAGAAATCACAAAGTGTGCCTTAGATGACCAAAATGAAAGAAAACTGAGCGTTAGTATGGGAAATAATGTGCCAAAGGTGAGAACATGTCACAGGAGTGTGGGAGAAGCCAAGTAAAGCCATTTCTTCGCAGCCAGCTTGCCGAACCAAACCACGAGGTTACAGTGCTGGTGTGTAGCAGTGCCCTGCAGGGACCGGTCCGTCCTCGGTGTCACAGCTGGAAAGGGAGGCGGAATGCTGACAGTGGAAATGGGTTTGAGGATGGACAGATGTCGCCACACTGCACTAGAAGTTGTTACGCTGTGAGAAAGGTGGTCACCACGGACAAGTCCAGTCCAGGGTAAGGGCAGTGCAGAATAAGCTGGGAGGGTAAAAAGCTAAGATTTTGTTCAAAAAGAAATGCTCTTAACTACAGGTGACTATGCAGGACAGAAAGGAAGCCTAGAAGTAGGAAAGGAGTAATTTCAAATATTACAGTACAATGTGTACAGTACAATGTGCTGCACAATGTGTTCAGGTCAGGCCTAGGCTTGTCCCCATCGCTGGGACGGGCACTACAAGTCAAGCCGACCTCTCCGCGTGTATGAAACACCCAATTCATAGATGGAATAGGACACAGTCTTTCACATTTGAAGACAGCCCAGTTGCTGAGAAATTATCCATTTTATTGGCCTGTTACTTTTGTCTCCTTTCAGATCATTGCCTTTTGGCAAATTCACTTCTTCATGATGGCACTGCCACCAACAGGTTTTGAGACACAATAAAAACTGTGACAGGAAAATGAATAAAAAATCCAAACCTATGAGTGATTGCATATGTATTCAAAATGCAGGTGAGGGAAAAAGAATTTTCTCATGATTTATCTTCAGGCAACATTTTGGTATAACTATGTAATTTAACAAGACATTATCATAAACATTAAATATAAAATACCCAAAATAACTACATATATACATTTCAACAAGAAATGACATATAAAAACATAAGTCAAACCAAAGACAAAGTTCCTCAATTTGGTCAGAAATGTCCATGAAGCTCAAATGATTATCACAGAAAAAACTAAAAGCAGACTTCTTATAATAAAGAAAATAGTTGAGTTTTATCTTCACATATGCATAACACTTTTCCCCCTTGATCTCAAATAACTTTTGGAATCAAGTTAAATATTTTTCATACTTAATTTAAAAAGCTAATGTCTTCACATTTTTTAATATAGCTAAAGGAGAGAAAAAGATATAATTTTATATTTGGAATGTAATTTAAAAAATCTAATTGTTCTCACTATCTGCTTTAAACTCCTAACTCAGTCATCTAAACACTGTAGTCTCCTTTTCCCCCAGGAAATCTTGAAATAAAAAATACGGAAATATTCAACATGGAATAAACTAATTAGTTTCTTGAACATTTATTGTTTTGTTTTTTTCATTGACAGTCCTAGTATTTTTTAAAGGTTGGAATTAATCATTTTGGTAAGTTTATTTTCTTTTTAGGTAAAAGACTAGACTTCCGTATTTAACAAACAGAAAATGCTCTTTTGGTAAATATAATCATTTCTTAAAATATTAGTTATAACATAAAATTTTAGAATAGGCTTATCTTACTTAGTATTGGAGATATGTTCTTGCAAATGGAAGCACTAACCGAACTAGTGCAATTCAGTAATTGCATCATAAACCCTTTGTAGATGCTGTCTAAGTGTGGTGTATATTCTGTCTGATCAGCATATACTGTGTAATTAGAAGTTTACGATGATATCTTTATCTTCTCCGTCTTCTTCAGATTTTGTCTAACAGTGGGTTTACCAAGCCTGGAGCACGGTCAACCCAGATCCACCTGATGTTCACCTGCTTAGAATCTGCAACAGCTGAGCCGCATTTTTAATCATCAAAGTAACGCCTCGTTTGGATGAAAGCAAACTACTATTAGCTGTGAAGCAGAAGACCACACTCAGAAAATGGAATGTCACTGGCAGATACAGCACAGAGCAAAGAAAACAAACTCATTGAGGCAAGGGACTCTCAAACTGGGCAGAAAGACCAGCATGGAGAGGTGCCTCTGACTCACTGACCAAGAAAAAGCGGTGTTCACTCTACGTTTTTGACATGTAAGTTCTAAAACAGAGGTTTTATGTAGTGCGTTAAATTTGGAGAAAATCAAAAGCAAATTCTCTAACCTAATATACTTAGAAATTCCTATTTGAAATAAAGCTGCTTAGCCAAGATGCTGCCATTGGGGCCAAGTGTTAATTTGTAGTATTTGTATACATAGATGGATATTCTTTCATTTCATCAGGCTTTTTAATATGCTTCATTAGTCACACATTATAACTTAATCTTAGTTTTACTCATTAAGAATACAGCTCTGCTCACTTCCAGGTAGAGAGAAACTTGAAAGACTACAGATTATCTTAGAGAAAGTTCAGTTCTTACAAAATAACTTTGAAATAGAGTATTGCTTTCTAATTTCCCATACTTGTTTTCTTTAAGTTTAGTCATAAAATTTCATTAAGCATCTGGTCACTGATCTCACAGTTTTTACTAATTTGACCCTAAAATTAAAATCTAAACAATAATCTAATAGCAAAATAGTAAATTTTCAAATATCTCCCCAATAATGTTTTGTAAACTCTCAACTATTGTCAAGATTATCTAACAGAGAATCAAAATCAAAGCATTAATTAAATAAAGTTCTCTTGGATTTCACAACATATAACAATATTCCTTTTAGCACTGAACAACCCCATTATTAGTTATTTGTAAACATAACATATCTTAAATATTTGATTTATAAAGCTTAAAGTAACATACTTCCATATGGATAAGATACACCACAATTGTTATATTCCTCTAAGTTTCTTAAAAACAGATGCTAATTGTGTCAAAAAGTCTATTCTGCTTCAGAGATTTTAACTAGAAACCAGGAAGAGTTTCTCAATAATCCAGAGAGAGATGATAAACGGACGAGGATGCTGCAGAGGTTAAGTCCATGTGCGCTTCAAGAACAGGAGTCGCCCGTCTTTGGATGTCAGACATGTGCTGGCATGGAGACCAAAGGCCGACCACAGGACATCGCGAGGGTCCTTCCAGTTCACATTCTGGTGTTTCGGCACAAAATGAGGATAGGTCACAAAAGCATAGACATTTCCAAGTTTGTTTGTTTTTTAAATATATAATAATTGAACCAATCTGAACAGTGTATGGCTCATAATAACTCTGCCAGTTAGCAATAGGAAAAAAATACATTTTTGTGTCGTGGTGACTATTTATTGGTTAGACTCTTATTTTCCTCTTCACATTTTCGGTGACTGTTTCCCACTGGTATCATCAACCAGGTCTCTCAGGCGAGATAAATGGTGCAAAGCCCTTCATCAAAAAGTATAAAACATATTATAAACCAAGATTAAAGACTGAATAGGAACACAGACAGCAAGAAGTGGTGATTACATTGTTTATTAACATCAAAATTAGTATGAGGAATAAATTTATACAATAACTTAAGTATTGAACTGTGATGAAGTTTTCTCATAAAACTCTGATACCTAAATAATTGAGAGTTAAAATAATTTATCTAAAATTCGATAACAACACTTCAAAAAATTTTTATTTTGTGTGTTCAAGGCTTTTTTTTTGGCAAGTTAGCTGAGCAAGTTTAGTAAGAAACAATAATGGATATCATTTGTTATCACACTTAAAACTTTTTTCATGTAATTTTCACAACAGGTTTGTGAAATATATATTTGATTTTGGTATACTGTGTGTATCATTTCAAAAACAATTCATTTGTTTTTAACGTACACTCAAGATAGCTAAAACTGAAAAAAATAAAGGATCAGTTACAGTTCTCAGAAAAACTCATTTTTATTCAGCATGGAAGAAACAAATGACAATTATGTTGAATAATGTAGTATTATACCAACAACCTGGTTTTTGTAAAAATAAAGCTCAGATTATAGTATCAGTGGAGAAAATTCAATCATCCCTCAAAACAGGAAGAGAAAGGCCCTTCACTCTCCAATCTTGCTCTAAAAACTGTTCCAGTTTTCCTCTCCTATCCTTCAGATCCCAGAGCCACTCAGAAAATGTCAACCATGTTAATCAACCATACTTCGGGTCTCTGATAAATAAGAGACCAAGAAAAACAGAAATAATATAGCAATGTGTGCAGTGATCTCTGGAGGCCAATTACTAAGGTGGCTAAGGCAGTAACTATGACAGCCTATCCCACAGTCTCTAACACAGGTTCAATAAATGTATACTAAATAAAACACATCTTCTACTTTACCCAAGATAAAGAGGTGGAAGAAACTAGCAGTGTTAATTACTGCATTATATCTCTCTCCCATGTCTCTTTCTTGGATACTTACTCAAATATAATTAAAAGAGAAGAATCTGGATTCTGCTACCCTTTTGGCAACTTCAGTTAATTTTCGAGATTCTCATCTTTTTTAACTAAATTACAATAACACACCCAAAGTTACTAAGCAATTATGTAAAACTGACTAGACATTATCATTTCTACATCATCTAAAGAATTCTTTTCTCCCTAGAGATGTAGAGTTATGACAAATAAGATGACTTGTAAATATTCTTGAGACCTGTCTTCCTTTTTCTGTTCAGGCTTGTTATTATACTACCTGTGACTCAAGTGAAAGAAAATGGCAAATGACTAGAGAGTCTTATCTTACTGTTCACAACCCTAATGGCCACACATCCCTTAGACTCCAAGGGTCTAGGAAACTGGGTTGGGAAAAAAATCCTCATCTTTATTTTCACTAAATACTATCTGTAAATTAGCATCTTTCCATTATGCATGTAAGCAACAGACCAAAATCTGTGACCTTATATGCCACAGAAAACAGAGATATTTTCATATCACATTATAGTCATTGCAGGAATCTAAAAATCTTTTATCGCTATTTCAAAATTGTAACAGTTAGTGATAGTTTCAAAATTACAATAGGTATCAAAGCCCCTGCCAGAACATGTTTTTATCTAAGTCTTTCTGTTTACAGTCCAAAAGCACCCATATGACTTTACTGGCCAACTATTAGACAACTTTAAGCCTCACTGTTTACCCACTGAATAGCAGGGTCCCACTGGTAATCCAGAAATCAATGCTGTCCAAAATTCCCTTTCTCTATCTACTGATCAATACATGAAAAGGAAGTAAAAGCATACCACAGTTCACTACTTTTATTCAAGCTATGCAACAGGCCTTCCAATTAGGTTTTTACAAAATTAACTTTAACTTATCTATATTTTAAATGTAGTCTTATTTTAAATGCATTAATAATCACATCTTAGTAACTAGAAATTTAATATTTTTATAACTATAATTCAACATAACTAGTTTCCTTTCTAATTCTACATAGTTTGTTTTACACCTTTAAAAAACAATGTCAGTGAGAAAGGAAGACAGGGGAGTAGCGGGGAGAGTGCGGTGTGATGGGAAGGAACATAAAGCTACGTAGAAATGGAATCTTCCGTTTCCCTGGCTCGGTCACACACATCAGCTGGCAGTTCCTTTAATTTAACTGGCATCTGCCCTGCTGAGAATGAAACAAGCCACTCAGAGCAGAGGCTACCGAAGTGTGCCATTCAAAGGTATGTGAAGGGAGAAGTGGGGGAGAAGTTGTAGAATACTATTCTTGATTTTTTTCTAAAAAGGGAAAAAGACACGCTGATGGAGAAAACATTAAGGGTTACGCCACAACACTGAGTCCAGCCGAGTGAAATGGTGTTGCCAAAGCAAAAAATGTAATCTTGGCACTTCATGACCTCGGTACCCCATCTTCTGAGGGCACTTTATTTTCACTCAACCAAACCCACAATACTTTCCCCTTCTGCCAATAAGGAAAGACTTGTATTCTTCCCCACTGTTGAATTTAAGACGATGAAACTAAGAAAATAGGGGGATTAACACCTTTAGGGCATTTCAACCTTTTTATCCAGGACGTTGTATCTACTGTAGGTTTCCATAGATATAGGTGAAATAATGATACAGTTATGACTATAGCTATTCTAGAGGGAATATATGAAAATACATGTCAGGAACGAGTTGCTCATCCAGGAAATCCACACCAATACTAATCTCACATTGCTGCTACTGTTCAGAAATGAAAGAGTATCAATTTAGGCCATTCACATTCCTTGTATTTTAGGTGTCTAAGGTCTCACAGGGTCCTAAGAACATTTTAAATAAGAAATAGCACAGTATTAAGAGAAAACTTCAGTATTAAACAGTATGTCCCAAGAAGCTTAACCATACCCATCACATCCTTAGAACTACTTCATTACATCCTGTAACCTTCTGACCTCAATCCGAGAGGTGGCTAAAACATATCCACACATATCCATCAATCAGTACAGAATACTTACTTTTGAAGTGACCTAGTAATAGGAACCATACTTTCCTTCAATTGTAATTTAGAGAAATCATCTTCTGAAACCTATTATTAAAAACAACAAATGAAACAAAACACTAAAAACATTGCATAATTATCAACTTACATACTATTTAATGTGATTAAAGAGAACAGGAAAAAATACTATCTTCATTTCCAAGAAATAATTCTAGCAAATAATTTTCAGTAAGGCATTATTTTTATTCTCTTTTTTTCTAAAAATACAACTACTACTTAGAGTCATCTTTCACTTGTCCTAAAGTGTGCTTCTAAATGTATGCCCAGTAAAAATCAAATATTGGCTTGAAATGATGACTTCTGTGAACTTGGTTCTGTCTCTGTAATGTTTAAAAGGGGAAAACAAAGACGGATCACATGCTGTACATTAAATGTTGTGATCATTAGAAAGGAAAGAGAAATAGTAAAAAACAAACTCAGTAGAGCAGGCTGTGCTAGTTCCCAAGAGTTAATCCACTCATTTTTAACAAAAACTGAATTTCAGGAAGCTCTGCTGAGTAACAATAGCAAAAACAATGACAATAAGAACATTTCTTGAATATTCAAAGGTATGATTATCTGTAAATAATTTAAGTATTATTATTTGTTTTTACAACTTTTTATTTTTTATTACTATTTTTAGGATTTTTTAATTCTCACTGGAGGACATTTTTTTATTGCTTTTAGAGAGAGGAAGGGAGGAAAAGGGAGGGAGACACTCCTCAGCTGCCTCCCGTACACGCTCGATCTGGGAGCGCACACTCCCAGACGGGGGGGCCGTACATACCTGGACCAGGGACCAAACCCACAACCCAGGCACGTGCCCTGACCAGGAACTGAACCCGCAACCATTCGGTTACGGGACAGCACTCCAACCAAGCCAGACAGGCCAGGGCATTATTTAAGTCTTTGTTATTAGGGTAAGTATTTTATTAACAAGATACTTATTAAGTTTTTAATCAGGTGCCAAACATAATAAGTACTTGATATAATCTATCTTAATTTCTCAACAACTTCATTTTACAGAAGAGAAAACTGAAACTCTTTAGTAAGTGGCAGAATTAGAATTCACAATCAGATTGGGATTATATACACATTCTCCCAAGTTATAAATAACATGGTTATACTATTCATAAATACTATACTACTGTGAAGAAAATTCACTCCTACAGACTAGTAGCCTAAAGAAGAAACGTATTTCCAAATTCCTAGGAAACATAAAAATTCAATGGTTTTAAAGTAAACTTTAGCCCCAGCCAGTGTGGCTCACTGGGCAGGGGCACCGTCCTGTAAACCAAAAAGTCACGGATGATTCCCAGTCAGGGCACACGCCTGAGTTTCCAGTTCAGTCCAGGTTGGGCTGTGCACATGAGGCAACCAATCAATGTTTCTCTCTTCTATCAATGTTTCTCTCCCTCCCTCCCTCCCTTCCCCTCTCTCTAAAATCAGTAAGCATGTTCTCAGGTAAGGACAAAAAATAAAACTTTACAGAACTGTCTTCAGAAGTCCATATGGCTCAAATTTCAGATGACAAAGATACGTGGAGAAGTCCAATGGTAAAAAGGTTTTCCTGATCTCCCCGATCTATCCAACATATCTAAATAAGGTGTTGAATTCATTACCATAAACTAAATAAAACAATCCATTCCAGAATATACAACTGCAGAAATTTAATAGTATTCACTTTGAGTAAGTCACTTTCTTTTACATATATGTATATATATACTTTATTGTTTATGCTATTACAGTTGTCCCACTTTTTCCCCCTTTGCCCCCCTCCACCCAGCCCACCCCCCCCACTTCCATAATCAGTCCCCTCACCGCTGTCCATGTCCATGGGTCCTTCACGTGTGTTCCTTGACTAATGCCTTCACCTTCTTTTAATTAGTCCCCTCCTTCCTCCTCCCCTCTTACACGGGTCAGTCTATTCCACCATTCCAAGCCTCTGGTTCTATTTTGCTCACTAATCACTTTCCAAAAAAATAATAATACAACTCTACAACATATGTTATGTGCTATGTTTAGTAACATAAAACTACAGGTCAAACTAAAAAAAGATCTAGAAATAAATCTTATCTCTTCACAGATCCCAATTCATAAATCAAGTTTGTGCTTACTTGCTTAATTTCTCCTTTTGGCTCTGTGCTTTTGTTCTGGTTAAAACTTTCTTGCACAGCCTGAAGGTTAAACAACATTTGTTTCAGGGCTTCCACAGGGCCATGGTGTTTCCCTCCAGAAAGGGTACAGCTCTAAGAGTTAAAACAGATGAACAACTAACCATCCACATTCAGGGGCAAAATGTTGTATTTTGTATTATTCTTCCTCAATACAAAAATCCAAACAATACATGTCGATAAAGTGTCTTAAAAGTTGTACGTAACTCATCTCCTCTCCTCGCCCAGCTCCCAGATGAAGTTACTTGTGACAATCATCACGAACAGTATGGCATTTCCTTTCTCATCTTTGCTCTTTTAAAATGAATAGTACTTGTTTACATTTTCGATGCATTCATTTAGTACATTTAAAATCACAGATTTTTAAGAACTAAAAGTCCCCCAGAGAGCAGGTAAGCCAACCCACTCTTTTCAGGTGTGTAAATGGAGCCCGGTTACCAGCTCAGGAAGGACTGGGATCTTAAATACAGTATTCTCTGCACACATTCAGATACGTTTTGACACACGGAATACTGGTGCCCCACCTCTTCACGGGCCACATATTCCTTGCTATCCAAAAAAACACTCGTAAGTCAATTATCACCTATCTTACCTGCATCCAAAGGTGGCAACAGCACTTAGCCATGTAAGTGGTCAAGATTCTTCTAAGAGAATCTGTAAAGGATATTTTTGAACTTCTTTTTAAAATTCTTACAAACCTATTATTTTTACACTATTCACATGAGTTGCTGTGTCCTGAAAACTATCCACAAAGTAGCAAACTGGCCTGTTAAGATGCCTGTAATTTAAAATTTTTTCAACATAGACAGTATACCACATGTACAGTTTAAACTTCAAGGCTAGAGGAAACTGTTGGCTGGCATAAGAATATTAGAAGTGGGCTCTTGCTGGTGAAGAGATTCAAAGTTAAGCACAAGAGTAAGAAGATTTTAAAGGCACATCACAGCTCTGAACACAGTGTAGGAAACTACTATTCTGTAAGTCTGAAACTATTAACAATACAGAATAATCCTGAATGTGCACTGTAATTGAAAAAAGGAAGATGATGTAAGAAAGTAAAATGATGCGGCTGCTGTGGAAAATGGCACAGCAATCCCTCAAACACAAGCACAGAGTTACCATACACTCTGCACTTCTCCCTCTGGGTAGACGCTCGCGAACCCACGTCGCAGAAGCATTATTCACAGAACACAAGGTTGGGAGCAGCCCCTGATTTCATCAGCAGACAACTGGATAAACCAAACATGGTACATACAACAGAATACTCCTCAGTCTAAGAAAGGAAGGGAACCTTGACACAAGATACAACACATGAAATAAGCTAGTCACAGAGGACAAACATATGATTCCTCTAACATGATGCTATGGATTGAACTGTGTCCCAGAATTCATGTTACAGTCCTAACCTTGAATTCAGCTGTACTTGGAGAAGGGCTATGGGAGGTAATTAAGGTTAAATGAGGTCATAAGAGTGGGAGCTTTGATACCATAGGATTAGTGTCATTATCAGAAGAGACATCTGAGAGCTGAAGGAAAGGCCACGGTAAGGACACAGTGAAAGGCAGCCATCTATCAGCCAGGAGGAGACTTGTTCACCAGGCACAGAATCTGCCAGCAGCTTGATCGTAGATTCCCCAGCCACCAAAACTGTAAGAATAAAAATCCGTTAGGCCACCCGCCTTCAGTACTTTGTCTCAGCAGCCTGAGCAGACTAACATGTATGAGGTTCCCAGAATAGCCAAGTGCACAGAGAAAGTAGAATGGTGCTGGCCAGAGCTGGCGGGAAAGGGGCATGGAGAGTTAATGCTGACTGGGTATAGAGTTTCGATTGGGTGAGATAAACATGTTCTAGACACAGGCAATGGTGATGGCCACACAATAATGTGAAAGCACTTATTGCACAAAACTGCACACTTAAAAATGGTTAAAATAGCCCTGACTGGTGTAGCTCAGTGGATTGAGCGTGGGCCTGTGAATCAAAGGATATCACGGTTCGATTCCCAGTCAGGGCACATGCCTGGGTTGCGGGCCAGTTCCCAGCTGGGGACCGAGAGGCAACCATACATTGATATTTCTCTTCTTCTCCCCTTCCCTTCCCCTCTAAAGATAAATATGTAAAATCTTTTAAAGAAATGGTTAAAATAATGCGTTTTATGTTATGTAGACTTTACCACAATTAAATAAAGAAAAAGAATCAGGGCATAAGGATCCAGTGGGCTTTACCGTGCCCCTCTTGGAGACGGCACCCGAGGCACTCGTAGCTCTGAACCATCTGCACTGTGCCACCAGATTGAGAGAACTTCTGGTCGCCTGAGGGCGACCACAGGGCTGCAAATCCTGGCTCTGGGACCTGCGGTCTGCCTTCCGTGAACTCAGGCAAGGCAGTGGTCAGAGCACGTAAAACAGGGACTACTGAAAGGTCATGCAAGCTGCTTTGTGCCGTTCACTAGAGAATATTTATAAATGTTGGTATGTCTGATAGAATTTTTTCTTGAACTTGACATTAAAACCTTACAGTGAATATATCCGAGAATTTTTTTGTGTTCACATATTCAAAAACAATTTAAACCAATTAGAATAAAAAATGAACCACCTAGTGCTATTATCAATGAACAAGATGACTGGGGCAAAATGAAAGGGGCTGAACAAAAATAATTAACCAAAGTGATTCTGAAAAATGATATTTTGACCATCTATTGTAAGGCTAATGACACAAAAAACTATATACAATTGTTATCTAACTGGTAAATTTGTTTCTTACAGGATTATTGGTTAGTAATTCTGAAACTATCTATATACTAAGATTGAAAGATAAGTAAAGTTATTATAGGAAATGAGGCAGGATTCTCACCAGTGGAGAAAGAAGTTACAAATAAGGAACAGGAAAGACTAAGTCAAACACAGTGGTGCTGGACTAGAATCAGAGGTATAAGTATAAACTCACAATTTTATACATACATAAAAATATATGTATAAATAGAGATATATATGTGTAGGTTAGTAAACACACGTTACCTGGGCCTGCTGAGAAAGTCTAGAATGAATAACAACCCAGTAGCAGTAAGCACACCCAATGCCTAGATCTTAGTTTCTAAACACCATTTTCCAATCAAAAGAACCACAGCTACTCAGAGAAGTGTCTAAAAAGGATTGGGGACATGTCAAAAAGACACAGAGGCCAACCTGAAGGAACTCCTTACGGCCTAAACTAGAACAATTTGAGTACAAAAGAGATAATAATATTGTATTGTAAAACTAGAATAAAATGAGTATCTATGGGCCCCTGATGATATGATTTAATAAACAAATACATGAGGGAGAAGGAAAAGCATTTTGTTATGTAAGAATTTCAACTAATAATGTAAAGAAAAGACAAGACCACCAATGGATACTATAATTAGTAGATCATATTCTCCAAGAATCATTTCTAAGATATCTATTCATTACAAGGGCAAATGGTAATTTTACTAAAGAGAAAGCCAGTAGACACCAACTGTTTAAAACATACTTCTATAACTTTATATATACATGCATATTATTATTGTATTATCACACTCCTATGAACTGAATGTCCATTCCCCTGGAGTTCATATGTTGAAGCCTAATCCCCATGTGACCGTATTCAGAGAAGGGTGCGGAGCCCTCATGAATGGAAGCTCTGTCCTCGGAAGAGACACAGGAGAGCTTGCTTCTCCTCTTCTCTCTGCCCTGTGAACACGTGGAGAAGATGGCCACCTACAAAACTAACAAACAGGACCTTGCCAGACACCTTGACCTTAAACTTTTCAGCCACCAGAACTGTCAGAAATGATTGTTTGCTACTTAAGCCACCCGGTGTATGGCCTATTTCAGCAGTGCAAACTAAGACACATTATCTGTATACCAACAGTGTGAATACATCATAAACCCTCTGATATGATGCACTGAGAAGGGCACACAGCATAATTTGTTGCATTCTTGCCAAAAATGCATAGCCACATCCTAACCATGAGAAAACTTCAGACTAACCCAAACTGAGGAATGATCTACAGAACAGCCAACTGACCCGTATTCCTCAAGTGTCAAGAACAGGAGAGACGAGGAAAAACTGAGGAACTGTAACCAAATGGAATAGATTAAGGAGACATGGCAACTAAATGCAACACTGAATCCTGGGTTGTGTCCTGAAACAAGACACTGGAAGAGAAATTGGTGAAATCAGAAGAAGGTGCGCAGCTGTGAGAACAGTATCGTGCCCATGTTAAGTCCCTGTTCCTGGTCATTAATGCTACGTTGAGATGTTAACAGTAGGGCAGCTGGGACAAGGATGACAGGAGCCATGTGAATTATTTTTGCAACTTTCTGCACATATGAAATTATTAAAAACAAACAAATAAAACCATCCTGGTAGTGAGGTTGTATGTGTGTGGTCAGGAGAAAAGGAACCAGTAGCTTAGTATTCAACACGTATCCATCTCAAACTTAAAAATACTTGTGCAAATCTGTTCCTCTACCAGTGCTCCTTATCTAAGAAACGGGGGGACCATCCAATCCTTTAGCTGCTTGACTCAAAAGTCTTGGATTTGTTTTTCAAATCCTCTCTATCTCCATCCCCCAGGTCTTTCTTCAAAGTACACCCCAAGTCTAACTGTTTCCAGCCTCCTCCCACGTACCCAGTCTACACAGGCCTCTCCAATCCCTGTTCTGAATAACAAAGTGCAAAAACTGCCAACCTTTTCTGCTCCTTCTCCAACTTAAATCTATGCTCTTAAAACTATGCTCATACGCCTACCATTTTATGGTTTAAAATGTGTATCTGAAGATTCCATTCCTCCACTCAAACCTCCCCAGTGACTTCTCACTCAGATGAAATGTAAAATCTTCCTTCCACAGCTAAAAAGTCCTTACATATCTGGCTCCTCGTAACCTCTCCATCTTTGCTCTTAGCATCCTTTCCCGTGTTCCTGCTGACGGAGCGACCCTGACACTCCCGATGCCAACACCTCGGCCCAGGGTCCCAGCATTTACAATGACCTCTGTGTGTAGAGAGTCATTTCCCCGCGGGCACCTGGGTCATTCACCCCTATCAGGTTTTCATTCATTAGAGAGGCCACTCCTGACTACTCTCTTTAAAGCTGTCGTCTCGTTTCTCTTTCCCAATTAATTTTTCTTCACAACACCAATAGTACTCCTTTATATATTATACATTAAATTTTCATTTAGTTTGTCTCTTCAACTAGCATTAAAAATCTAAGAGGTAACGATCTCCTCTTTTTCACTACTTTCCAAAAAAGTGCTTGGTACTCAAATATTTGTCAAATATTTGATAATTAAACTTCACTTACCCAGCACCTGCTGTACTATCTTATAGAGAGCGCTAAGGTCTGTAGTAAATTTTGCTGGAGGAAAAAAGACATTTTATTAAATTTTTTAGCTAATTTTTGTTTTGAGTGTTCAACCTCTCAAATCTAGAATGTTAAAAACCCCAAAATATTATTTGAATATTTAACACCATGTCTTGTGTTTCTAAATCAAACTGTACATCATTACTTATGTGCAAATATACACATTTATATTTTATTTTGGGGTTAACTGCAGGATGAATATATACTGATTTAGTAAAATTAGATGATGGTTTTCCTATTTTAAAAATTATACAGGTTTATAATTTTATTTTACAAACACAAATATCAATAATCAGCTGCCCTATGGGAAAATACAATGGTCTGTTTTATATGTTTTCCAGAAAAAAAAAATTGTCATGACAACTTAGGCTCTCTGTAAGAGTTCAGCCTCAGGTCCCTTTACTGCAGAATACTCAAACACATTATCAGTAACTCTAGGCGTGATGGTTTCATGCAGCGGTGTCCAACCCGTGACCCAAAGGCCGCAGGTGGCCCAGGATGGCTATGAATGTGGACTGACACAAAATCGTAAATTTCCCTAAAATCTTTTTTTTGCTCGTCAGTTGTCCTTAGCGTTTGCATATTTAATGTGTGGCCTAAGACAACTCTTCTTCTTCCAGTGTGGCCAAGAGATGCCAAAAGGCTGGACACCTTTCATGGGCAGTTGAAACTTTCATTGGATGTGTGTTCGGGAAGAAGAAATACAGGTCATTGTTTTATAATAACTAAATAACTTGGAAATTAATATCTACACATTAGTAATCTTTTAATAAGTTAAAAAGATCTACCTTCACTCACCTGATTATCGTCATTTAAAAAGTCTTCAATGAACCCTTTATCATGCTTGGCCCTTGAAGCCTGCTGAGGACTCTCCTCCAAGTTAACAGGAACAGGAGATTTGCTAAACAGAATTTAAGATACAAGATAGTGATTAAGTTCCCAATTTATAAAAATTAGACAAGTGTTTAATTACATGGTTATCACTTAAATATAAATGGTCACCAAGAAATAATCATTATAAGTATGATTCATATTGATTTTTATTGATAATTCTCTTATCTTTTCCCTTCACTGATAATAGAACCTAACCTTCCCTATCTCTGTCCTTCTTCTTTAAAGCTTTAAGAAAAGATGAAAATGTCAGTTTTCAAATAACCAAGTAAGCCTTCAACTATAGGCTATACTTACAGCTCACTTGTTTGAAATAAGCAGTACATTTTTCCAATTAAACACCATTAGTTACCCAATGATAATACACAAAACTCCCACAAATATATGATTTTTACTAAGATGGCAGTTACATGCTCTGCCATGTCAAAGCGATAGGACAGATGTCCCCCTCCAGAACTAGTATTAACAAAGAAGACAGATTAGAGAAGGAAAAGAATCAATTTTGAAATTATAATTCCTGAGTTCAAATCCCAATCCCACTCATTATATGACTTTACTAATTTATTTATCTGAATTTTGATTTCTACATTTCTAGTCCCATTTATCTCCAATAAATCTTCTGTAAATTAACTCTATGTACCTGTTATATTTAATAAATGCTCAATAAATATTAATTTACTTTTTGATGTAAGGGGTAGTAAAAAAAAAGGGCATCCCCATCAAAAGAAATTCCCAAAACCAAATTTTGCTGGTCAGAGAATAAACTCATTCTTTTATTTAAATATCATTATGAGATGTGCTTCTAACTCAAGTACCCAGATATCTAAGTCTTTTTTATAACATGTAAATGTCACAATGCTAATTTTCCTTCATTGGCAGCACTTTATTGTTAATTCATTTGATTTGTAATTCACTCCGAGCTTTTTATTGCTCTCAAGTAGACTTTTCTCCCCTTCTTTATCAAAAGAGTTCATACTTTGTACATCCACCCACCATTATTAAAAGCATTTACCTAACTATTGAAGATGGGTGCTAGGTATATAAGGATTCGTTATACTATTCTTCCACTTTTGTATTTGAAATTTTCCCACATAAAAACTTAAACAAAAAAGCAATTATCTAGTTGTGGCTGTAGTCAATCTTTTAGCATATTACTTTGAGTACATCCAGGTCAAATTTGTTCTTATTACCAGAAAACAGCTGATAATAAGAAATTAAAAAATAAGAAAGATAAAAATTAAATGACATCATCATTAACCCATTTCTGGAAAGAAATCATTGAACCAACAAGTTAGAAATCAAAATAAACTAAGAAAAAATATTCTGAATAATCACCATAATTACAATTTACGAGATCACCATAATGTCCTAACTTAAGTACCTTTATTTATTTCTAACTAATTGAATCTTCACACAAACACCAAAGCAAAATAACCTGTAGAAGACCTTGTACAAAGTCGAGTTGTACAGAATAGATGTGACTTGTACAAGGTCTCGGTGAGGAAGACACAGAACTAGGATTCAGGGTCAATTCCATAACCAGGGTCCACATTAAAAAAAAAGATATTCAGCTGAAAAGTAATCAAAAAGTATCCAGGAATTACCAAACACCATCTACAACAAAGCAAAAGTATAGACAACAGACTACAATAAATATCAGAAACTGAGGCAGGATACAGGGTCATCAAGGATACACACCTGGTAAGTCTAGATATAACAGTACCACTAAGACACTAAGAAAAAGCTTTCCTGTCTAAACTCCCAATCCTTATTCCATGCTCATATTTAATTACCTAGGTGAACATGTTTTATTCTGAAAACCACTGTAAAGTTAAACACACAAATGAAAATAATCTCAGAAACTACAAATATTTACAGAATAGACAATATATAAAATGGACAGTCATTTAAGGGATATAACGACTGAAAGAGAAAGTAAAATGTAAATGAAATGAAATGGATAACTAATACATGGAAAGAATATAAAGGGAGAAAAAAACTTCAAAGTAAAATGAAAGTAATAAGAATTTCATAGCTCTCCTCTGCAAAATAGTTGCTTTTGGTTCTAATTCCTCATATTAAACATATATGAGTATTTTATAGTGCAACAAAAGGAACATGTAACAAAAGCAAAAGTATACAATTTCTAAGTTATGAAAATTACACCATCTTGTGGTAACAAATGAAAAACTGCAATATAAAGCAAGCAACTGTTGTACAGAATTACCATTGCTAATTTTAATTAAGTTATTTAAAAATAAATTAGATGTTCACACACTTTTCATTTGAAAAACTAATGACCTCATACGACTTTTTCATTATAACATACTTACAAAGTAACAGGAATATTTTCCCATGATCTTTCTGCTTCAAGTTTATCTAATGAACAAGGACTGTCATCCTGTTTGATAGACTTCGGTAGTTCTTCAGTACAATGCTCTAGATTTCTCTTGGCTTTCAGGATAAGCAATTCGATTTTGTCACCTATTTAAAAGACTGTATTAATTCTTTTTTTAAAATGCAAAGCACAACAAAAATCTCACAAAAGCAACAAGAATTCAGATAAGTTGGAATATATAGTCATCTATAATAGCAAATCATGTCAAAAATGTGACATTTCAAACAAAAGGAGAAAAGACATTTTCTACTTACAAAATGCTACATAAATGAAAACCATAGGAATTCAAGAGACCTTCTATCACCTGATCATTGCATCAAGAACGGAACATAAAAGTTCCTAGATATTAGGTCAAATTACAGCATTTTCTTTGGTTCTTAAAAACAAACAAAAAACAATTACCACTGAATGGCTTTTCGGATTGTCCTGAAAGAAGTGGATTTTCACATTGACATTGACTATGTTCAGAATCACATTTATATTCATTACCTACTCCTTTATCACCACTCAAGAAATTTGAAATGTCTGAGGGTTCAAAAGAATATTCAAAGCAATCTAATTTACTCGTAAGTCGAGAAGCTCTTTGTGCCTGATAACTATGTCTTGGGGAACACTGCTCTTCTTTAAATGTTCTATGAATCCTGTGGCTATCTGTGTCAGGTAGCAAGTCCTGACTGTGGAGCCAGACTGGGTATTTGAAATCAGGTATGCTAGTGATCCCCGAAACATTAAGGTCAGATTTCTGGCCAGTGAGCCACCTTGGGTAATTCTTTTCAACATTGTGTTCTGAACTGTCCTTGAAAGATGATTTCTCGGAAAAAGATAAAGATGGTCCAGAAATGCATTTATTAGTATTATTTACAAGTTTTAAGTTTTTTAGCCTGCGAGACTGCTTTCCATTTACATGTGTGTTTGCTAAGCTATCCTTGCTCATGGCAGTGGAGGGTTCTTGAAAATTCTGGTTCTTTTCAGTGTCCGATGAACTCAGTCTTCCAATGCCTTTCTTGGTTTTCTTGCTAATTCGGTGACCTGGTCCAACACAAGTGAAAGGAAATGACCCATCTGCCGGAAGTTTTACTAGATCATCCGTTGTTAAGCTAATGGAGTCAATGTCATTAGTAGTCCGTCTTCTGGAAGATAAGGAGCTCTTTCTGTGATCAAAATTTTCAAAAGCTGAAAAAACAAAGCATAGTTCTGTATATTTTCTGATATCGAATATAAAAATACTTCAAAATATTCAAAAGTGAATAAGAATTAAGAATTTAAGAACTATTTTTGCCACTTTCCTTTTATCTTCAATAAAGCACTGACTAAAAGATACGGGTTGATAAAATAGGATGTGCTTTTTTTTACCTCACATCTCCATCTGTTTTAACTAGTTCCTACCCTTTTCTGTCCAACCTCCCGAATTTTCCCATGTTCTTTAACTTACTGTTTCTTCAACTTTTTTCATCTAGACATACCCAATGCACTAATGCACTCACATTAATCCTGGTCACTCAATACTGGCTGCAATACAGGGGGACAAAATGAGATCAGGTGGGGAAAAAAATTTGCTTTCTTGCCTATTAACTCCGCAATAGCATTGACCCACAGTAAGTAGCTGTTCTAATTCTCCTCTTCTGGAATAGTGCCTACATCCTTCTAAGAGTTGAATGCAAACTTTTTCCATACAATGGCTATTCCATAGTAATTGAGTTATCAACAGATGCATTTTCCAAATCTGTATTCATAAAAGCCTTACCAAGTAAAAACCCCTAACGTGCTCTGGCTGGTGTGGCTTAGTGGATTGAGTGCCAGCTTGTGAACCATAGGGTTGCCAGTTCAATTCCCAGTCAGGTCACATACCTGGGTTGCTGGCCAGGTCCCCAGTGCAGGGCATACAAGACACAACCACACATGGATGTTTCTCTCCCTCTTTCTCCCACCCTTCCACTCTGTCTAAAAATAAATGAATAAAATTTAAAAATAGCCTCTTAACGTATTGTGAATATTATTGCCCCAGAGAATACAGATTGGGAAGACTAATATAACGCTATGCCAGCTATTGGAATTGACCAGGTATAATAAGAAAGGCTGAGATTTGAAGTCATCAGACAGTAAAGGAAAGCTAGAACCCCCAAGTCAATGCTCTTTCCATTATGCAGTAATAAAATGGTTTAAGGATTAGTGTCAGCCACCTGCTATGATTCATCAGCTTCCCCTCCCAGGTCACAAGGAAATCTTAGCTGAAAACCCCCAAGAACCAGATATTTACAGAATCTTTTAAGAAACATATCCAGATCTTAACATTATAAAGTCATTTTTACCGCAAAAGAACAAAGAAAGAAGTATGCAGTTTTCAAAGACTACAACATGTCTCTCAAATGCTTTAAATCAGTGGAAAGGAGGAGGAGGAGGAGGAGGAGCAGGAGGAGGAAGAGGAGAAACAGAGGGAAAAAAACATACCATTGTTTGGTTTATAAACGTAGCTGGAGAATTCTGGCACATTAGCAGGACATTTGTAAATGTTCATCTTTCCAGTGGTTGCACCAGGACACATCTGGCTTAGATCAAAGTCCTCAATATAGGCCTGCAGAGCCTGCGATGCAGAACTGTAGAGTTTATCCTTGTACTGAAAAGAGCCATCAGAGTTAGAGGAATGACTACCACTCAGGCTGCAGCTTGCTAGCAAAGAAGATACCGAAGATTCCCGAGAACAAACTCTGTGTTTTATATTTGATTTTGCCATGCCTTCCTCAAAATGGGTTATTTCCATTCATTCCTCTTAGAAATAACTGTAATAGAAAAACAAAAGATCAAGGTTCAAAGTAAAAGGAATAACAGCCATATGCAAAGAAATTACTAAATATAAACTTTTTATTATTTTCTTTTAAGAATAAAATCCATTATCTATAAATCATTTTTAGGCAAAACACATAATTTCTATTATTTTAATTATTATGAACTCCATAATTATCTAGAAAACATTCATTGAATACCTACTATGTGCCTAGAATTACACATACTAAAATTATCTGAGAATATTCATAGAAAGTTCCAAAGAAAGAGTACTTACTTTTTAATTCCTAAAACCTACTGAAGTACATAGCCTTTTCTTATGTTGATACAGTTTATGACATCACAATACCTAACATTCCCCTATACAGATTTTTCAATTCATAAGCCTACCACCATGCACTGCAGATAGTAAATGCTCAGTAATTTTTTTAATACTATTTCTTTAATTGATTTTAGAGAGAGGAAGGGAGAGAAAGAGAGACACATCAGTTTGTTGTTCCACTTCCTCACGCATTCATTGGTTGGTTGTTGTTGTGCCCTTACTGGGGATAGAACCTGCAACCCTGGCTTATCAGGATGACTCTCCAATCAACCCAGCTTCCAAAACAGGGCTTGCTCATTAAATTTTTAAAGGGATCAAATGAGGTATTAGAAACAAGAAGGAACAGGGAAGAATGTTATAAATGTCAATATGTAATTTTAACCAACCCTTTCACCTGAAAAAGAGTTGAGAAAACAAAATATAAAGAAATAAGCTACAAGTTATGTCATAAGATGAACATGCAAAATGCTCTTTTCCTAAAACAATACTGTTAATAATAACTTCCTGACCTTCATTTTGGCACTATATTTTATTCTTAAGTATATTCAGCCCACCTCTCTTTTATAGGAGACCTAAATAATTAGAAAACTGATGATGTATTCACCTTGTTTTTCCATTAGTAAAATTGAGGGAATTCCTATCTACCTTAGTATAGCAATAACAGGATCTATATTTGAAAACCTAAAAAGTAGCAAAATGAATACCCGCTCTGTTCTTTTGATATACTACATTCTTTTAAAATTAAATCAATGGATTTTCGGTACTAAAAATACGATTAATGTCTAGGACTTAACACATGCCATGATGTTTAACTTTTGGCTGTATTTTGGAATATTTAAGTTATAACAACTTTTAATGAAATCTTAACTCTCAAAACTGACTTTACAATACTGAAAGTCTTCCATTCAAAAAAAAGAAGACAATAAAACGTCATCCTGCCTGTCGGCCTAACAATACGTAACTGCCTCTGCAAGAGAGCTGAGAGCAGTGAGCGGAAGCAGCAACAGAACATAGGATCAGGTTTGGCTTCTTTGATTTCCCTGAGTGTGTGATATTGGTACGCCAAGAAAGAATGGCTAGACTATCACTCATGGTGGCCAAGACATGGAATCAACCTAGGTGACCTCCTTCAGTGGATGACTGGATAAAGAAGATGTGGTACATATGTGCAATGGAATACTACTCAGCCACAAGAAAGGATAGAATACTGCCATTTATGACAACATGGCTGACTCTCTAGAGTATATTCTAAATGAAATAAGTCAAGAAAGGAAAAGAACTACATGATTTCACTCACATGTGGGCTATTAACAGAAAGCAACAAGCAAAACAAACTCACCAACAAAGACAATTGTATGGTAGATTCCACAGGGGGAAGGGGTGAGGGTGTAGGAGAAGGTAAAGGGGGTCAAATACATGATGACAGAAGGAGACTAGACTTTAGATGGAGTACAGAAAGCAATGTAGATAATTATAGAATTGTACACCTGAAACGTACATGTTATTAACCAGTTACCCCCAATAAATTCATTAAAATATATATATAAAGAATGGCTAGACTAAGTCAGCTTTGCTCTCTTTATTCTACTCACCAATGATGTTTAAACTTTCTGAAACAAATACTGCTTGGATATTAAGCTTGACCAAACATTTTCTCCCTTAGGTTACTGATTTTAATTTTACAAAACCTCAAAAACAAAACAAAACCCTACAGGGCAAAGTGATGGGTCATGGTTCTCGGTAAGTGGGTAATTACCTCTATTTTAATTCACAGCAAAACAAAAATAAAAACCAAAAATCCACAATTGAACTTTTATTGTATAGAGTCTCCAAAAGTACAAAACTAAAATAAAATAAACCCCTATGCAGCTCTCACCCTTCTTCAATTACCAACATACCCAAACATTCTACAATACCCACCCACTTCTCCCGCAGGATTTGGAAACAAATCCCAAGTATCTTACCATTTCTCCCATACACACTCGTCCACAGCTGCATAAGGAAATCCATCATTCCGAACAAAATGTGAAACGAATGGCAAGAAGTTTCAACTACCTTTGATTCAAAAACATAATATTCTGTGTCAAATAACCAATGGGAATAGCTCAGAAGAAATTAACAGATCTTAGAAAATAGCTCTTGGGGGAGGGAGGTATAGAGAACTGAATAGTAATACAAAACATAATAAAGGAAAAAAAGAGATGGCAGCTCTGTGATTTATGTGATGAAGCCGAACATGTGTTTCTAGCCTACAGCAAAAAAGAATACCAGAAAGCCAGGATTGTTGGCGCCCCCACACTAAAGCAACCTGTCCCCTCCGGGCGTTGAGTTCAAACCGGCCCCCGAATCTAGGAAACGCCCTGCCTGCGGGACCCCAGCGATCACAGGCACAGGCTCCCCCCAAACATGGGGGCCTTGCGACAGTTAGCGCCCGGGGTGCGGACTGAGTTCCTGGAAGGGACAGTCCCAAGCGCCTCGGCCCCCACCCCCCACCCCCGCTTCAGTGGACGCCTCCAGTCCCCTCCGCCCAGTTCCGAGACCCTCCCCCGACCGCGGGCCCTCCCCCTAAAGTGGTCCCCCTCCCGCAGGGACTCTCAGCATCCTCCTTCCCGCCCCTGTCTTCTTCCCCTTGGCTCCCCACCACCTTCCTTTAGCCCTTCCCTCGGGCTGTCAAAGGATGGGATGCCCCTCGAAAACACACCCATCGAACTCGCAGACGAAGATTCACAAAGAAATAAAAAAGCACACTCCCACGACTCGCAGAGGAAAGCCCAGACCTGCCTCCGGAGCGCAGATGCCACAAAGCATCCCCGATGCGAACAGAGCCGCTGGCTCGCAGCATCCCCCACGGTCACAAGGCAGCGCGACGCCCGCGCAGGCTTTCAAACTGACCCAACATGGCAGCGGCAGGCCGTGCGCGTGCGTAGTGCTCAGGCGCCGGAGGGGGAATCGGGGGCGCGCAGGACCAGGGGGCACGCGCAGGAGCCTGGGGGGGGGGGGCGGGGGTGACGCACTGGGGCCTCAGGTCGCGCAGCCTTCTGGGAAGTGTGGTTTCTCCCTCCTCATCTCTCTGGGCGGGAGTTCTGGACTGCGACCCTCAACGATTCGCTGCCACTCTGAGCTCAGGACAGGCTGAGCCTGCCTCCCTGGCTCCCGAAGCTGAGAGAGGGAAGTAGGTAGGGACACTTGGGCGCTTGCGCCTGACGTTTCGGTCTCGGGGAGGCAGCTCCACCTCCCCAAGTGAGCTCGGCTCCCCGTTCCCAGGATAAGATACCATCTCGGCCGGGGCTAGATCCCGAGACCACTGACTGCCTCCCCTCCCTCCCCAGGGCCTTCCCCACTCATTTATCCCCGAGCACCGCGGGCTCTCCTGGGCTTCCAGCCAGCCCCTCACACTCGAAGCCCACGCGGGATGGGGTTTAACCAACTCCTTGGGGGACCTTGATTCCCAGGAAGTATGGCAGTGACCCAGTCGGACAGCCCAGAAAGCGGGACATGATACAGGCAGATGTGAAAACCCGCTTAACAGCATGTGTGAGTCTGTCTGCACAGTTGGCTCCGCATGTGAGGTGCGAAGAATCCAGTTTCATCCAAGCGATGTATCAATAAATGATGCCATCTCCATATTGATTTATGTTTAATTTCCGCTGACCCTGTGGGTGAAGATGTCCTTGATTATTTCACCTCGATATGTTCCAGCTCATCTGATGTCCCATCACCAGGTAGTATAATTGTAGTCTTGCTGTTGGCTCTTTCTTGTTTTTACTCTCTAGCCCACTGAATCTGCTTTTTTCTTAGCAAGTGAAAAAAATCTGCTTTTTTCTTAGCAACTAAAAAGTTCAGTCAAGTGGTGCAAATAAACACATGTTTGTCGTGGCAGTAAGTGCTGGGTGATTTGACAGAGAATGACAGTAACTCCCTGCAGGAGTTTACACTCGGTTTGTTCCCGTACTCTGCATTTCCTAAGTCAGTCAGTATCAAGTATGTTGCTGATAGGAAATAAATTAGTGTGACATATGTGCTGAGACAAGCCCAGGTCAGGGACCAGCTGAGGACTGCTAATTGCATGAGCTTCAAGAGTTCGACGTTTAAAATCCACATTCTACCTAAATGTCTTTTTAACCGCTCCTTCTTTAAAATAACTTCTTAATAATTCTGTTCATAGGCAGTATCTCTAAAGTTTCTCTTACTACCTTTTTCTTCCATCTTGGGGCACATACTTTTACTTAATGGTATGTAAATTATAACCCAGTAGGCTGTTTTTAAAATGAGCTGTACATTTTTGGCTAATGGTTATTAGGAAGAGGTGGTAAATATGAATGTTGGAGTAAAGCAAACTTTTATGATTTTCACAAATAACTGCATTTGTAAAATTCCACATCACTGGGTCTTTGGTTCTTTGAGTCTCCAAACCATATTTCACTCATCGAAACAAACTAATGTCCCAAAAATAAATCTGGCACCATCTTATCATTTATTTAGAACTATGTAGATTAACCTTATCTGCTTTTATTAAACTGATTTTAAAGCCTGGGATTGGGGAGAAGTTACAGAAAAGCCCAGAAGTTACAAAAAAAGGCCGTCCTGAGAGGTCTCAGCGCCACTGGGCCCAGCTCTCTGTCCACCACAGGACGGCGCTCCCGCCTTGCAAGACGGTGACCTCAGCACAATGAACGGGCCACCGAGAGCCGCGCTGCCACCTTTCCGCTCTCTGCTTCGCTGTGGTCCCCTCCCTTCCCCCAGCTTGATGTTTAAGGAAACAGACCCGACAAGGCAGCACCCACGCCCGGGGAGCTCATCTATCTGGATCCGATTCCTGCACCGGTGGTGCCCCGTGATGCAGGCAAGGTCACAGCCTGGCCATTCGCCCTGGTTTGCACCCTCCCGGTCCTCCTAACCACAGTCCGCGAGTCAGCCCCTCGCGGTCTGTGCTGATTTGGGGGCGGGGGGGGGGGGACACCTGATGGCATTCCACACGGCTGCCTGTACACCACTGCGTGCCCCGCTCCGGCTGCCGTGTCTGTCAAAACACAGCTCTCCTCACTTCTTCGGGGCTTCGATAGAGCTCTGAGGACCCGAGGTCCCAATTTTGAAATGTCAGGAAGCGCAGCACGATTTCACAGCGCCACCCTGAGCTCCCTCCCAGGGCCTCCCGGACACAGCTGACAGCGATGGCGGCCTCCTCGTGGGGACATGGGTGAGGGCGGGCTGAGACGCGGGCAGCCCAACATTTTGGACAGCCAGAAGTTGTAAACAAATCTTGTAGTAAACCTACAAAACATATCGATAGTGGAGGGACTCTCCAGTAAATATTGGAAAGGCTTTCTTGAGTGTGCAACCCTAGCAAACTCAAATAGATTTAAGACCGCACAAACTGCTACTGGGTATTCCCAATCTGTAAAAATAGTCACGTACATGTTGAGATAGTGGTCTTCACACCCCTAAAAAAAATGTGTAATACTATATCCTGGTCCCCTGTTAGACCTGCTCACTGGGACCCTTTCCCTGACTCATTGTTCTCCATAGCTTTTCACGACACTAGCTGAGATGGCCTCCCTTTCCTTCCCCTTTTTCTGTTCTTGGTCTGCAAAGATCTGTGTCTGCAGCTGATTAACTTCTTCAGGCTGCCCAAAACAGTCCAGAGCTAAGAGACATTGTTATAGCTTCCTCCGTCTTTAGCCTGGCAGTTGGTGTTTTTGCTAGTAGCTAACACTTTGAGCTCTATCTGGTTATGGTCCATTAAGAAGTGGTATCAACATGTACTTTTCTAGATTTTCTCACGGCCACTTTGGGATTAGTCTGACTACTTGAAAAGATCTACTCAGCACCACCTCAGCTCTCTCAGAAGCTTTATCAGACTAATAGGCACAATCTTGATGTTGGGTGTGTGCGCTCCTGTCTTAGAGACTTTGCTCTCTGGGTCACTAGCGATAAGGCAGCAGTTTTAATCTCCAGATTAGCAGCTCTGGCTCCCTTGAGTACTTTTAACTTCTGCTTGCAATCTAACCAGAGTTTTTGTTTGTTTTTTGTTTTTATTTTAAAGCTCAACTCTTTCTTGTAACACTTCAGCCTATGCAGCTAAAAGCCACTAGGTGGCACTTTCCACATTTTTACCTGGCAATATCCTTGCCCAAAACCAAAGTTCATTAGGTTTATTTTGTTTTCCAAGGTACACAGGCAACTGTTTCATCAAATGTCTCATAACGGCTTCTTAATAAAATAGTTTCCTTGCCATGATTCCATCGTCTGCTAACAATTTTCTAAACTCCCTACTGCTCAAAAGCTAATACCATATATCTTGGGTTTTTGTTGTGTAGTTCTCCGCTTTCAGGTACCAACTTTTGTAGCAGTTATCTATTACTGAAATAATGCCACAAAACAACACGTTTTGGACTCAGAAAGAATATATGATCATCATAAAGTTATCAAGCATTTACTCTCAATATTCAGATCTACTGTCAATTTCTTCCCCTACTCAATAATCATTCATAATCATTGATTAATGAATTTTACTTTGAAATAATAATTGAAATTTATACCTTGATGGAATTATTAGAGAAAGCTCATGATATTTTACTTGCTAGAATCTGAAATGCTTACCTCTATTCAAATGTAAATGCCCAAATGGTAATAATAAATCTAAATGCCTTTATTTTTTACTGGATTCATTAACACTATTAGATATGATGGTAACCTACACAATCACATGACAATTTCATACACAATTTTAGTAATGTTACAAATGACCCTAAACTAGTTGATTATTCAGTTACTTCATGGGCAAATAACTGAATTTGGCTGAATACCAAGGCTAAAGCTAAACTTTGGTGTATCCATAAATACTCAGATATTAGGAGTATGTACATCCCAGTTCTTTTTACTGTTAGGCTGTTACATCAAAAAGGTTTACAATGAACTAGAATATGATAGTTTGCCTAAATCTAAAGATGGAATATTCAACTATTAATATCTTCAATTTTTCTATCTCAGTATATCTGTATCCACATTTGTTTACATAAGTCGACTACAGGCTGAATTTTATTACAGTACAAGTTTGTAGTGTGGGATAGAAAGAAATTGCCACTGACACAAATATATTGTAGTAGTCAGCTTTTAAAATTTTTAATACATATTTTATATACCTGTGCATATGCAAACAGATATACACACGCCGAGTTGACAGAATCCGTGTATTGGCCTGCTTACCTCCACTCTACCTTGCTTCTAATTAGAGAAGGTAGAAAACTAAGAAAAACAGGCATCCCAGGGGTTGCCTGCATCTAGTTTTCTGGTTACACCATTGGCTGAAGTCTTCTGAGAGTTGAAGGCAGAGAGCATTTCTCTTTTTTTTTGTTGTTGTTCTTTCTGCTGGCTACCAAAGACAAGAAAAAGTGAAGCTTTTTTTTTTTTTCTGTGTTCCAGTGTCCATGTGCCAGATCTTGTGTGCCAAGATCTGTCCAAAATCGGAGCATCCAAGACAGAGGAGCAGCAGCTTCCTGCGTCCTGGCCCCTGATTACCAGGTGGCAGTTGTGGGTAACTGTTTTCCAGGCTGCTGCATGTCAAGGAGCAGTGGCTGTGCTCATGGCATATTGACTCCAGCTTCTTGAATTCGCAGTTCCTCTGATGGGTTCAGCGGAGACAGCTTGTGTGGACTGCTTCTGTCTGGCTCCCAGGCCGGCTTCTGGGGGCCAAGCCCGGAACTTTCAGCTCCGCCGTGGTTTTGTAAGCATTTAATTCACTAAGTTAAAATTGTTATGCTTAAAATATCTATAGAAGTTTCATTTTACCAGCCAAGAGAGCATCTGAAAGTTTAGTTTTCTCAAAGGATTTTAACACATTTTAAAAATACTTTATTAGTGATACCTTAAATCTCTGGTCTATCTGATATGTAGTAAATACAATTGAAGAAAGGAAGGATACCCAAAGTATTGGCAAATTAGGAGAGCCTCACCTCTATTTATCAAAAACAGGACTCTCTTCATAAACCAAAAGTCATCATTAACACGAATCAGCTTCACAGGAGGACACGGTTGTATGTGGAGATTACAGGGAAAAACAGCATCAGTGACACTGTGAGGCAACAGGATGAAAGTGAATTTCACACAGCTGAGTAATTTGCTTACAAGTGGTGATGGTATGCATCGTCACGAGAGAGAGGAATGTGGTAAGAAGACAAAATAGTGAAATCTAAGTCTGTAGATGGAAGACAACACCTCGGGCTCACAGAAGGTAACGGGAATGAGACTGACCAAGAACCCTGCAGGACTATTCTCTCAGTAAAGTGGGGAACTACTTGGACATAATCCAACTACAAAACGAAAGACAAAACTAATGGGGTGGGACGAGGGGAGAGGAGTACCCTCTGGGAATTTCATGCCCACAGTCTGCCCAAATCTAGGGTTTAATGTTCAAAATGAAAAATTGCAATGGTCCCAGACGTGGTTCCCTAAAGTGCTGGCAGAAGCCAGTGCAAATATTCTGGGGAGGGACATGTGGTACCCAGACCTTACAGGACCCCACAAACAAAGCCCAGCAAATGGGAGCCCACACTCCAAAATCACAGGACATGTGAGTAAAAAGGCCAGCATGAATAGGTTGCCCAGAGAAACGATCAGATTTTTAGTCCCACACTCTTAAACAAAAAGCAAATTCAAGTACAAGGAAATCTTTGGAAGTTCTATCACTACATCTTGAGAGAGATGAGAAAATATTGTGTCCAATGAACAAGAATAGGATGCTACAGAAAGAAACATTTAGAGAAGAAATTACTCTTAAAAATCTACAAATGAGGCCCTAACATTGCCCCAGCTCACTTATCTAAAGCTTCCAGGGTGCAGTACTGGGACAGGAGAGCCAGAGAGAACCTAGCGGTCTGTGCATGGAGCAGAGCCGGGAGTCTGGAGACACGAAAGGGGCTGGAGTTCACAGCGCACAGTGCTGGAGAAGAGAGAGTCTTGTACTGGTCAGTATAAGAAATTACACAACTATGGGGAGGAACCACCTGACAGGTGCAAAGGGAAAAATCTCCTGAGCCCACAGAGGACCAGAAATATTTCACGTTATGACAAGAGAAAAAGACCTCCTGAGTCACAGGGCACAGAGGTCTTCAGAAGGATTTTGCCTTAGTAATAAGGTGATATTGTTCCTAGAATAAATGCTGCTTTGGTTATATGCAATAAAGGAACTTTTTAAAGCTACCAAGAACAACTCATAATATTTATTAAAAAACAAAAACAACCATTATCCAACAAGGCAAAATTCACAATGTCCACCATACAATTTAAAAAATTACCAAGCATTCAGAGCAGAAAAATATGACCTATAATAAAGAGAAAAACAAATCAATAGAAGTACATGCAGAAATGAGCTACAGAAATACTTTAAAAACAATTTGTATGATTAATATTTCATATGTGCAAGAGGATAGAGAAAAATTGAACATATTGAGACACAAAATATACAAAAACAACACAATCAGGTATCCAGAAAAGTAAAATGCCTGACAGGAAAACTACACTAAATAGAAATAACAGATGAAATATTATGGGAGACTAATTAGTAAACTTGAAGACAAAGCAATAAAAACTAAAGGGAAATAGAAAGGAATAAAAAAATGAGCAGAGCATCAGTGAGCTATATGTTTTAAAACATGATAAAAATAAGCCTTGTAGCTAGATACAAATACTGCATATCTTCAAAGACAAAAGTGTCTTAAAACAGTCCAAGAGAAATCAATTCTAAATACACAGTGCTAAAGACATTAATTTCAGAAAGCAAGAACAATTCTAGTTTGAAGGGACGTCTGAAATGCAAGAAAAAAGGTGAGCCCCCAAAATAAGTGGGCAAACCTAGAGTATGTAAACAAATATCCAATTTGTAGATCAAACTAAGAACTAGAGGAATTTGACTAGAATTAATATATTTTAACATCCTTGTGTTTGCAAAGAGGGTAAAGATACCATTTTTAGAGGTTAAGCATGTTAAATTTTTAAAGGGAATCAAAAGTACAATACTTAGAACGTTTAAATTTCAAGTTGGTAGGTGGAAATATATTAAATAGAAAGCTCAGCCAATCCAAAAAGAAGACAGAAAGTGGATAAGGGTGGGAAAAGCATAGCATAGAACAAGGCAAAAATAGGTAGCAAATAAGACGGAAAAAATATCTCCAAGTAGACTTGTTCTCCCGCACTATGGGGGGGGGGGCAGATATGTGTAAGAGTCTCTACAGGATGAAACACTTTGTAATTCATTGCTGGTTGTGCTTTGTAATAGAAATTCCTAAGCCCCATCCCTTTACCCTCACACAGGGAAGGGAAAAAAAGCTGAAACAAAAGCAGGAAAAGAGCAGGAAGCATCAGGCAAACTGCTTGGAAGGTAGAGTTTACCCTAAAGGCAAATGGCCTGCAATTGACCTCTGGAGAAAAAACCTTAGGACAGTGGCAAGGTCGGGCAGCTCAAACGAAGACCACTGCAGACAGCAAGACTGGACCAAGAAGGGGCTGAAGTGGCGCCAGTGGACTGGCACTGCGCCTCCCTGGGAGCAAATGCAAATCATCTTGGAGGGAAGCGTCCACAGTCTAGGTCCTTTGTCTTCCCACAGTTAAGTTGAGCCACACATTCAAACAAGTTAAAATGATACACGTCATTATCAGAAAACTTAAACTTACAAAAACTTAAGTTGGTACTGAAATAATCAGACAAAGAACATAAAATATGAATTTTTACAAGGAATATTAGAAAAAGAATCAAATGAAAAATATACTTAACTAAAATTAAAGTCATCATTAATGTTTTAAATAGTAGATCAGATATTAATGAAAAACAAATCGGTAAACAGAGCTGATGAAATTAGCCAAAATGTAGCAGATAAACAAGGTAATGAAATGTAGCAGGGATTAAGGGACATGAAGAACAGAATAAGAAAGGCCCATCATTTCTGCAGTCCCACGTCCTAGACACTGAAGCAATACTTGAAGGGCTAGTGGCTAAGACTTTAATAGAACTAACAAGAATTGAAAGATACAGGATGCCAGCATGTATCAAGAATAAAAATAAATTCACACTTCCCAACATTATAAATTTGTACAATGCCAAAGAAAGAAAGGTCATTTTATTAAAAGCAGATAAGATAGATAAATGATAAATAGTCATATGCTGATTTCTGGCTGAAATAATTATAAGGATTATTGGATATGTTTTAAAACTGAATTATCTAAAAAAGTGGTAAACTCTTGTTCTGAGTTTAACTGCCTCATCAGAACACTACATACAAAATTCTCTAGCCCTTGACCCACAGCACAGAGTATCTGCATGGTGAGCAACTTCTGATGTTCCTGCTGCAAGTTAGTGTTTCTGATGAGCTCCAACTCCCTGTTAACAATCCTTGGTGGTTAGGGGATTTTCAAATTTCAAAAAACCTGAAATGAAGTTGAAACTCCTTACCTACCTAGAAGGAAGTACTTTTAGGCTATACTTTATTCACATTTGTGTACGTTATTTTTGTCTTTAAATTATACATGCAAATGTTATAAATAGGACTCCTCCAAACAGTGCTAAGTAATAATTGGGTATGTTCTAGAAACATTCTTTATGTCTTACAAATTATAAGATGTCCACAGTCTTATATCTAATTTTTGATCTGGCAGGCAAAAGGTGAAGGCTGTAACGATGGGAGAAAAAGGACATCCATCAATTTAGTAACTTTGTGTGACATTCTGAATTTCACCTCCAAAATCTGGGGAGATGCAAAAACATGTAATCCACTGCGTTTAGACCCCATAGACTGGCCAGAAGGAAACAGACTTCTTCCACTATCTAGAACCCTTCTGGATCTGCCACCTTGCACCTGGGGTGTCCATCCTCCCCTGAACCTACCTGCAGGGAAGGTTCCTTCTCATTCACCATGTTAATACACTCCCTGCCATGCAACTCATTTGCTCAGTAGTTACTGAGTGCCCTCTGTGTGCCAGGCAGGATGGTAGGCTCTAGGTGTAATAAGAGGCATTAATTGAATATGCATCACTTTGGTATTTTTTTTAATTAACTTAATGGTACACAGTACTTCAAAGCTGTCTACATTTTTAATCGGTAAGTTGGCTATAGAACTTATCTGGCTGTTTCTTTTTTTAAAAAAATTTTATTTATTTTTAGAGAGTGGGGAGAGAGAAAGGGGAGAGAAACATGGATCTGCAAGAGAAACATTCATCATTCATTGGTTGCCTCTCACATACCTCCTACTGGGACCTGGACGGCAACCCAGGCATGCGCCCTGACTGGGAATCGAACCTGCAACCTTTTGATTCTCGGGTTGGCACTCAGTCCAATGAGTCAAACCAGCCAGGACTATTTGGCTATTTCTTAATGGGCTCAATTTTCATAGGAAAAAAAAAGTTCTTTACTATAGCATAGCAATGATTTGGCCAGTCTATTTCTTATATGCAGGCATATATACCTTTCCCCTCAATCTATGAGAAATGTACTAATGCTTACCAAAGTATTTTTTATTGAAAAGCAATATAAAATAGTTTTAAAAATAAGAGGAAGGTAATGTTACACATTACTTCTTCTGTTATAAATTTTTATACTTTGTGCCAGAATTTACTCCCCGTAGGCATTCTTACTTTATTTGGAACATTTTATATTGGATTGCTCCATAACTGAGTATCTATTAGTGTTTAATTTAGATGAGTGTAACGTCCTTCCCTTGCTTTTTAGACCTTTTTTCCTCAGCATGCCTATGTGTGTACATTGTGGAACTCCGACCCTCTGCTCTTCCAGTCAGCCAACAGCTCCTTCTGTACCTCTTCTGGCAGTTCATAGAAAACTTCAGGGTCAACATCAGAAGGGAAAGTAACTTTCTCAGCGGAAGAACCTTGCTCTCTACTTTCTGCAAGTCCTTCACGATGAGGCGCTGTTGCTGTCAGTGGCTTATGGCAATCTGCAGAGAGGTTTTTGCAGAGAAGTTGCTCACACTGTAAATTTGGAAATGAATGGAAAATAGATGAAGTGGGGTTTGTAGTTGGAAAGTGGAATCCTTGAGATTCTTTAGGTCCTTGCCTCACTCCTTCAACTTTTAATCTACTGTCCAGAGAATGTGAATAATCCTTTGGGCTAGACGGGTAAGAGGAACTACTGCTATTTAAGCCTGAGGTTCCTGGTTCACAGGGAGATACAGAGAGTGTCTGTTTGCTAGTAGATAAATGATCTCTAGGATTTAATGGACTTTCTTGCATTGGTTTTGTAGAAAAGAAAGATAATATCCCTCTAGAGGCACGTAATGGAGAACTCAAACTTCCTTTCCCTTGGACCTTTTCTCTAGATTTTCCAGAAAGGATTTCTTCTTGAATATCTACTGGAAGCTGCTTAAAAACTTCTTGGTCAATACCCTCAGGAAGTGAAGAGAGTGGGAATTCATCGCTGTCTTCTTTGGAAAAATTTACAGTATCTAGTGGAGACTTTCCAGTTTTTGTACTTTCAATTCTTCCAGTTGGCAGAAAATTCCAATTTGTTTCTTTGTGTTTGGAAAAATCCTCCATATGAGTATCTTTCATTTTCTAGAATACAAGATAACAGAATAATTTAGATCTCTAATATCTGTAAATATTCATGCTGCTAAAGTATGACTGTACCTATTATCTGACGGTTGTGTTTCTATCCTACTCAGTAACTTCATTCCGTTCCGCCTGTCCCAGACAAGGAGAGATGATGAGCTCATCACAGCTGGCCACACTGTTGTGTGGGTCCTCACGCACTATTCCAGGAAGAGGTCTCCTTCCCAAATAGCGCCGAGCCAGAAGGTAGGTGTGCATTTACAGACACAGGAAGGACCTTAATCATGTATCCACACTTCTAATCCTGGGAGTAGAAGAATGGCCTCAAAAAGTAAATGATTAACCCAGGGGTATCTAAGTATTTAAACACACACACACAAGTATATATATGTACATATATATTTACTTGATGCATAGATCATCAAGGACTAGTTTTCTAAAAATCCCTTTTCTAAATTGTTATCATTTAACAAGAAAAAATACTTCTGTGGTAAAAATCTAACATCATTATTAAGGCATAACACTTTTTAAAAATCAAATTTAATGGGGTGACACTGGTTAATAAAATTATATAGGTTTTAAGTGGACAATTCTATGATACGTCATCTCAATATTGCACTGTGTGCCCACCACCCAAAGTCAAACCTTCTTCCCTCACCATATAATTGACTCCCTTTACCCTGGACTACCTCTTTTATATGCAAGTAAAAGTGTAAAAACACCTTCAATTCTAACTTACATAATTTTTTATGTAAACTTTTCCACTTCAATTTCCATCTAACTTTAAGCATCATAAAAATGTATACACAGTCAAATGCAACTCAGGAAACATCGATACAGTAATTTTAAAAACACAAAAGGAGAAGAGATTCAGGCCATGTGTTTACTGAGTATCATACACACAGGTACTTTCACTTATATCTACCTCTCTCATACTACGGTAAATTATAGAGCTTTACTTCTCATTCTACAAAATAAAAAGTAAAAAGTCAACACCATTTAAAATTTCAGTTAATAAATGGAATAAAATTGGTCAGAAGACAAAAACTAATTTAAAGAGAGCACTAATGCATTATTTCTATAACACTATCTGTTTTCATTTTAAACTTAAATGTAAATAAATTATTACTAAAGTTATACTGACTGATTAAACAATAAAAAATAAAGAAAACCATGAAAATGCTTTAAGAGTTCATTGTAGGCGTGGAAAATTTAGTAAAAGATGATTATTTTTTAAAGCATCCCACACTCAGTAAACAGAGGTGCGCCAAATGGCCATACACAGGGTTTTGTTTGAGTCAGCTGAAAATTTGACAATGGCAAAGTGAGTAGTCATTTTCTATCAGTTTTGCTATTGGAACTCAATTTAATTTCAAAACCAAGCAAATTTAAATACTTTAACAAAACCCAGAGGGGGTGCTAAAGAGAAAATCTCTATGATGGTTTTCTTTCACTATCTAGTGATACTTACATTTTCTTCTTGATCACAGTACGTTGTACTCAAGCCTAGCACCGCAGTTCAATGAGTATAACAAACATGGGAGTCAGTCCAGAAATACAGCGCAAAAGAAACTCGAAATTACATCAGTTAGACACAAACTGAAATTTGTAATTTAACTGCACACGTCCAACAACAAGGTACTTACAAAACTGCGCTTGCCAAGGTGTGACGTTGTTGATGATGATGGTGTTAAGTAATAATCGATAGTCCCTTTCTTAGCAGTCTTTACTGCTTTAAGGTTGCAGAAGCACACACTTAAAAGGGTTAGATGAAATGGCATCTTCACATTCACCATGTTTCGAAAAAGTTTCATGAGTACATCAACCATTGGGGTTATCGCATCATAATTTCCTAAATAAAGTGTTTAAGAAGACAGTATTGACATCTAAACACATTATATAGTCATTAGTATAAAGGGCTTAATCTAACTTAAATTAAAATCCTAACTAGATATCATTGGGACATCTCAACATCAATACTAAATGTCAAATGGGTACAGGTTTTCAGAAGATTTGAAATACAGGATATCTGCTTATGGTAGAGTGATGATGTCAGAAAATCTCCCCACTGAACTCTAATAGAAGTAAACAAGACTGTCAACAGCAACCATTTTGAGCGTCTGGAAATAGACCAAAGGCAACTAAAGTGAGAAGCACTGACTTACAAAACACTGCTAGTGCTTAGGTAAGAAAGGAGGAGAGAGCAGCCTGTTCTGGGGCTGTCCACACTTCCCTTTAGGCAGCTCAGCTGGTACAGTAGTTCCACCAGGGCGAGGCCGGCTGTGAAAGGCAGCAGGGCTGAAGCCAGAAAGAGCACGTCTGGTGTGCAGCTGGGGGCAAAAGCTCGCACCCAGCAGAGTGGCCAGTGAAATGAACAAGGTTGGTAGGAAACACGGGGAGAAACCACACAGCTCTCTAGCCCGAGGCCACAGTGATGGTTGGGGTGAGTGAAAGATCAGCAGATCCGCCACAAACTTAGCCAGGCGATGTGGAAATGAAAACAACCGTATAAAGACTGTGTAAACTGTCCTCATGAGCCCAGGTGACTGGGAGGCAGCATGCGCAGGGAGGGAAGGGCAGGGAGGGACCAGCTGTCCACATACATCCCTAACTAGAACAGAGATGCAAGAGGGCCTAGCTGGGAATAAAAGCCAAGGCAGACCTGAAACGGCCTAAGTGTTAAAGTGCTCTCCCACCCAGGCACACGTGGGGTGACAGAAGCGAGAAGCCTCCCCGGCCCTAGCATTGGAGCCAGCGGTGGCTACCCACCAAACTAGGCACACACTGCTATAACCTCCTAGGAAGCTAAAATAAAACATTTAAATTTAAATTTAAAAAGCTGAGCAGAGAAATCAGGGCAATACATCATAAGAAAGGGTATATCCTGCAGCTCAAGTCCAGACAAGTTACCAAAAAAATTAAAAAGCCTACGTGAAAAATATCCAGAATTGCTGGAATACCTTACCTAAAATACCGACTTTTCAACAAAACATTACAGTATATGCAAAAAAAGAGACAGTGTGATTGATTCAGGGAGAAAAAGCAGTCAATAGAAATTAACTTTGAGTCAGATTTAGGGAAGACTTCAACACATATTCAAAGAGTTAAAGAAAATCATTTTAAAGAATTAAAATATAACTGCCAAAAGGGGAATCTCAATTAAAAAAAGAATCACACAAACAAAGGAAATTCTAGAGTTAAAACGTACAATAATCAAAATAAACAAAACCACTAGATGGGTAAAAGCAGTTTTGAGATGACAGATTAATCAAAGAACTAGACAAATGAACAGAAATTATCTGATCTAAAAAAGAAAAAAATGTCTCAAGAAATATGAATAGAGCTCACATACCTGTAGGTCATTTTTAAGTATACCGACATATGTATAATGAGAGTCCAGACAGGAGAAGGAATACTTAAAGAAGTAAGAGTCAAAAACTCCACGAATTTCATCAAAATATTATTCTACAGAATCAGAAAGCTCATAAATCCCAAGTAGGATAAACACAAAGAGATTCCACACTCAGACATGTCAGAGTCAAACTGCTAACACAGCGACAACTCATTACCTAAAGGAGAATGAGAATCCAACTAGACCTACTAACACATGACTGCCTTTGAGCTCCAAATTCACCCTTTAGTGTGTGTTCAGTGTTAATGGGTTGGACTCTTAATTTTTTTTACATTGAACATGTTAAGCTTTGTCAGTAGAGAGCACTGGAGGACCATTAAAGAAGAAAATGGGCTTCTCTTCCTGGTTCCAATGTACTGTTATCTACTTTTTCTTGCTCCTGTACATTGTCTGTTTGCAGTACATATTTGTGGTGCACTCAGTCCCTTAGCAACCTCAAGCCCTAACCCAAGCCTAGTGACCATGTTACCATGGCAACACCAATTCAAACACTGCACACACCAAGCCAGTGCTGTCAACAGAGTCCCAGCTCCTTCTGCACACCTGCCTAACAGCCTTGACCTGCCTACTTTCTGAAGGGTTGTCTCATCCGCCTCTTCCTATGCAGGCACCATACCCTTCAACTTTGTGGGAGCAGATTCCTTCAGGACAGCCATCACCAGCCTCCCCTTGCCTGCACCCTGGAGGTCTGTTGACAGATGCATGCCCCACATAAACACTGCATACCCCAGCTCAAGCACTGCCCTGCCAGTGAGCCAGTGCCCCACATTCAACTCCTCCTGTGTACCCACACACTAGCCTCAGCTCGTCTGTGAATCAGTGTGGGTGCTTTTCTCTTTGCCCAGTAACTATGCATCTCTGGGCCCAGGAACTCAAAAGGAGTTTTCCACCATCCAGTGATCTGCAGCCACACCTTCTCTTTGAGAGGTAGGAGAACTCCCCTTTCCAAGTTTGTCCTTCCTCGGGTACTTTTCTCCCCAGACCTTAACACATCATCTTAGAGTTCTCTTGATACCCTTAGAGTCAGTCCCCTAGCTCAGGTTAATAATTCTGTGAAACTTTTCCCATTCTAATTTCTGTGTGGTTTATTCTGTCCTGAGTGGTAGGAGACTGATAAAACCATTAACAGCTGACTCCTTGTCATAAATTTTATTGCCATTCAATAAAATCTGGCTCAATAAATTTGCAGGACTGAAATTGTTCACAGTATATTCTCTGGTAAACATGAAATCAAAGTAGAAATCAATATAACAGAAAGAAATATAGAAAATCATCAAATATTTGGAAATTAAGGAATAAATTTCTACATAAATTTAGGAGTCAAAAAAGGAATCAGAGAGATATGAGAAACTATTTTGACCTTAATGGAAAAGAAACATAACAAAATTTATGGAATACAGCTAAAGCACTGCATAAAAGGAAATGTATGACGTTCAACTTGAATTATTAGAAAAGAAGGTGAGTATAAAATAAATAATATAAGCTTCTATCTTAAGAAACAAAGGGGAAATGACAAACTAAACCTAAAGCAAGCAGAAAGAAAAAATAACAAAGGTCAAAGCAGAAATAAATAAAACAGAAAGTATAAGAACACTTAGAATTGTTAGATATAACACCAAAAGCACTATCCAAGAAAGAAAACCCAAACACAATGAAATACCACTACGCGGCCACGAGAATGACTATCATAAAAGAAACTGGCAACACTGAACGTCAGTGACAATGTGAGAAACTGGAATGATCGTACATGGTTGGCGAGAATGTAAATTGTTACACCCACTTTGGAAAAAATTTGGCAGTGTCTTAGTGTTCAACTTAACACACCTTAACGCACAGCCCAGCAGTTCCACTTCTTGCCACACATGCAACATAAACAAAGGCATGTTCTGCCCAATGACTTGCTGGAATCATTTTTCATAATAGCCAAAAAAATAGAAACAATCTAAAAGTTCATTCAAAAGTTATCTCATGCCATGTAATTATCATAGCTTGTTTTCTCTGAGCTTGGGAAACTTTCTTAACTGAGTCTCTACTTTTATAATCTATTAAAAAAAGTTTTCTAGTAAAAATTTCTGATAGAAAAGAGGGATTTAATAGCTCACTAACTCCCTATGAAGACCCTCCATCCACAGAGACAATTTCTAATGCAAAGCTTCCTTTTATAAGGGCACAACCTGCCAATTAAATGATTAGGAAAAGCCCACACCTGCCCCTAACTTCTGAATTACGTGGGATGGAATGGGGCATTGGCGGCTCTCGCGGCTACAGTGCTTCTCAGGTGAGTACCGGCGGATTGTTAATCTCACTGTATGTGGCTTCCTTCCATCTTGGCATACTCTAAAAATAAAGAGAAAAAGGAAATAAGCAATTTGAAAAATATTACCTAAAGATTTTTAAAAACTGTCTAGTAAACATAATGGATCTGAAGGTGCCATATTTAGTAACTACAACATTGTAAGTACAGTTGATAACTACACAGTAAGCAATAAAAGGTCCCTGAAGAGCCCAGATAGATTTTGTAAACTCTATACACTGAAGAACTGAAATTGTAAGTGCAAGGCTCCCACTCAGAATTGGGTGCTAATCAGAAAAAGAACAGAAATAAAACATAATTACAACATGCCATTTTATAATCCAAGTTCAAAATGTAACTAAAGGCAAAATATTAAAATCAGCAAGAAGTTAAAGAAACTGAGAATCACTGACAGAAGCAAATATATAAAAAGTAATAGGTTTTTCACACTTTTTAAAAAATACACCATTACAGGAAGAAAAAACATCGTGAGATTACTTTTGTCAAAGAGCACTCCCCAAGTAGATCCAAGAGAGCCAGTAGTAACAGCACCACTATGTGGCACACTAGAGCAAGAACTGGAAAGATCAATTAGATACTGTATTTAGGAAGATGCGTGCATATACATGCATCTTATAAAGTATTCCATCCAAATGGTCTTGGTTTTGGGGTTGAAAACAAACTTTTAATGATTCAGAAAATTCACTTTAACAGTGTAAATTTAATAAGAGAAAATACATGTCATTATATGTATGGCAATACATTAAAATCACAAATACAAAATACAAATATTATACATTGTTAAACATGCTGAAATAGAAGATTTCTATCGGAATAGATTTTTGTAGTGAATTATTTTTTTTGCCCTGGCTGTTGTGGCTCAGTGGGTTGAGTGTGGGCCTGTGAGTGAAAGGGTCACCAGTTCAATTCCTAGTCAGGGCACATGCCTGGGTTGCAGGCCAGGTCCCCAGAAGGGGACATGTAAGAGGCAACCACACATTGATGTTTCTCTCCCTCTCTTTCTCCTTCCCTTCCTCTCTCTCTAAAAATAAATAAAATCTTTTAAAAATTATTTATTTATTTCTTTCATTGCTTTATCATAAAATTTCTTAATTGCTGCTTTAAAAATAATAAACATCTTAAATGGTTGCTGTGAATATGTTACTAGTTAAATATCACCCAGATAAGCTTGTTCTTTTAAGTTATTGTGCAATTCAAAGGCAATGATTTAGTTCCTGTAACTAATTAAGACATACTACAAAAAGATTATATTCTAAGCAATCTTAAACTACTGCCTGTACATTGGACTAAAAATTAAATGATTTAATACCTCTCACATTTCTATCGAGTCATCATTAACTCTAGAAGTTGAATACATTCACACACGATATTTTTTTTGCCAGTCACTTACACAGTATTACACTTCAATCCCTGAAATAGGGGACATGATATAGAACAGGGAATGGCAAGCCGAGATAAGGATAAATGGTTAATAGTTGGAATTGCACAGATTTAGAGCACCTAGTCTCATTCCTGGGTTGATTCTTAAATAAGAGAACCTATAATATTCATAATTCTTGTGTTTTTTCCACGTGCAGAACTGTCTCCCGTGCCGAGGCTTTTCATAGTAGTCTTCTATTTCTTTGGGGCAAAGCAAGTGACCCAGTTTCACAAGCCCCTCCCGGGCCCACCCTGAGTCATATCTCTGGAGCTGGGTCGAGGTTAGCCCCGGTTGCTTGCAGCAAGACGATAAGCTGCGTGGGTTTGCTCAAGCCATGAGAACCACATGGCATGTGACAGCCAAGTTGTAGGAACTTCACTGCATCAGTTTTCTCAGACCTAGAGTCATCCAAACCCTTTTCTCTCATCAGTTGGCCACCCAGACATCATTACAGAAGCACAACCACCCAAAACTCTCAGGCCCCACACACCCCATTCTGAGAAATCAAAGACATAAGAGGAAGAGACAATATTCTTCTACAGAGTGCTGAGGACAGACATATGATGGCAAAGGGCATCAGAAAGGTACATGTCTTGTTCCGCACATGCTAGGCTATCTGTGTGCTGTGTATGACCCCAGGTGACAGTCCTCATGTACTTACAGACCAGTGACCCTGTGCACACCCACAATCACTCTCACTGCCCACACACAGCCCCGCTGAGCTGCTCTTTTGCCTGACTCTATTTTCTTTCACGTAGTCTAAGACACAGGAGATACAAGCATTCATCTGCTTTCTCCCTTGCTGTTGCTCTCAATAACTACCTATCCTCAACCATCACATATTTATAGGTGTTGGGATTCTAGAGATGTCTGTAAACCCCAGTAGGTAACTATCAGTAGCTTATGATCCATAATGTAAAAATAATGTGAGTAAAATTCAATCAAACTAGATGGGTTAAATTTAGTTAAGAGCATCTACTACTACTTTTGGAACAGTTTATAATGTAGAGAAAGTCAGTGATAAATGATCTATCTTTACACTGTTTAGTCTTCGGTTAATCTTTAAGTTCCAAGACAGAGCATTAAGTATTCTTTCCATATACTTTATACAGAAAATAGAGGATATGGCAAAATGGAAAATCACCTGTTCAAAAGACTAGCAAGTAGTTCTTCAATCTTACTTTTAGCTTCGACTTCCGATGCACATTTTTTAAATGAATCTTCTTCACTAAAGGACTACCAAAGAAGCACAAATAAGGATAATTGTAAACCCAAATACGCATATCCAATTATCAGTGCCATTTAGTTCACTTTTACATTACCTCTCTTTACCTGCCAGTTACTGTACTCCACTAGAAAGTGCGCTGGAAGTTAAGAGAATTACAAAGGTCCAGCAGCAACTCCAAGTTTACTGTATGGTTACTGCAAGACTCTTAAAAAATTTAAATTTAACCTTGGACAAATTATTTAACCTTTCTACAGTATGGCATCCTCACTTAAAAAAAAAAAAAGAATGGGAGCAAGAGGAAGAGAGGGCAAAAGGTATTAACAAACAGTAGAACTGCCCACCTCAAAGGCCTGTGAAGATTAAATGGGATGATGTCAAGTGCTTAGTAAAGCTCCTGCCACACAGAAAAGAATCAGGCAATGTGAACTGGATCATTATACCTTTCTCCATTTCCTAAATCATTACACTACTCCAAAAACAGGACTTACTAAAAGATTAAAATATTTTGCATCACATATGTAATATAGGCTATTTAATCAAAGTGGCTAACTTTAGATTTAAATACCAATTCTCAGATTCAATTTAAGAATATTTATTAATCTCTTATACACTGTCTGGGTAGCTCAGTTGGTTAGTGTTGTCCTGCTATGACAAGGTTGAGGGTTCCATTCCCAAACAGGGCACATACAAGAATCAAACAATGAATGCATGCATAAGTGGAACAACAAATCAATGTCTCTTTTCCTTCTACCCCTCTCTAAATCAATCAACTGTAAAAAATTTATTATAATAAATTAGCCTCCTCATAGAAAAGGGGTCATGTACTAACTAATAAGCAAACTACAATAGTAAAAACGTAGCAATAAACCAGAAATCTTCATCTGAAATAATGTGACAACCAGTACTCAATTAAAATATCATTATCATGCACCTGAGGTAGTCCTGATGGTGTTACAGGAGAGTTATCCTCTCCAAAACTGAGCTTCTGGATACGCTGAGCAACTGCAATTCCTAATTCCTTTTCTAGTATTTTGGGTGAAAAGGTTTGGAGATCATGCACACTGCTGATACCCAGTGCTTCAAGGCGTTTGGCAGTTTTATAGCCAATACCTAAACAAAAAGAAATGTATAGAGTGTTACAACAACTTTTTTCCTTAAAATAAAACTAATGAACATATTATAAATACTGCATCAATCACATCTTTAAATCCCATAATTAATATTTTGCTAAGATCGAACTTCATTTCAAATGACATCACTGTTCTGCTCAGCCCCTGTGAGTTATATGAACCACTTTGAAAACCCAACAGCCCTAATATACCTAATATGATGAATATAGAGACAACCAATAAATTCTGTCTTGATAAAATTTTTACCACCTGTTATATATACCACTATGGAAGGACTCAAGAATCATGCTGATTATTCATTGGGTGTCCAACCCTCGACCCATGGGCCACTTGTGGCCCAGGATGGCTATGGATGTGGCCCAACACGAAATCGTAAATTTACTTAAAACATTTTTTGCTCATCAGATTTCATTAGTGTTTCTGCATTTAAGGTGTGGCCCAAGACAACTCTTTTTCCAGTGGGCCCAGAGACGCCAAAAAGTTGGACACCGAAAGAAAGACTGTCACTAGAGCAATTAAAATCAATTAGCATGTGCTTAGTAGTTAACCTGCCCGATTTTTATACCCAACACCACACATTTATCTACAAGTCATACCTGGCAATACTGACCACCTGAATACAACTAAGAAACAGAAACCAAACCAACAAAAAGAATTCTTACTAGCAAAACTCCTATCATAAAGTTTTTTGCAGGAAAACTCAGTTATATTTTATCACAGAAAAAAAGCTCAGGCAATGTAGTGTCCTTTTACTCCCCTCATTTTAAAAAAAAATTAATTCCACAATTATCTAATTTCCTTGAACACTAAAAGTAAATCAAAGGCGATGAATGTGTAGGGGAAATTATTAAAGTGGAGTGACAGATATTTTCACAGCTGAAATAAAAGAAGGCTAGCAAGTTGGCAATAAGGAAGAAAAGGCCTGCAAAAAAAATACAAGAATTCAAAAAGTAAAGTCAAGTAATAGTATTATGTATCAGTTTATAGTCCTCAATGTATTACAGTCTGACATAGTAACTGTTCTTCAGAATACAGACTTGGGTGCATCCAAGAAGTTACAACCGTAGTACTTTAAGGAAGATGAGGGAATAACACATTCTGGAATCACATAAACATGTGTTAAGTTTCAGTTGTCTTAAAAATTCACTTCCAAAGAATTCTATATAACATCTTTATCCCAGGCAATGCCATAGAAATGAAGTTTAACATATCCATTATTGGTGGTCTACAAAAGCATAAGTATTTGATCTTCAATGATACAAACTTGACCTGAATAGATCACTGGACCCTTTAAAAAATAATCAGCTTCTTCATCTTTAAAATAAAAGCTTTGTCTAAATGCTTTGGAAGGCCTCTTGTAGCCCTAATATTTTATATATAATCCCAAAATAGAGTTATTAAAAGACAATGCTCCTCTTTAGATGCAATGTACAGTATAAAAGTATAAACCAGGGATTGGAAGTAATTGACTATATGAGTATGTTCCCAGGTTATAACTTCTATGATCACATTCAAACTCTACAAAAGTAGGTGAGACTAGAAAAGAACTCTGTATGTTTCCTCATACAGACTCCCTCCAGAAAACAGGTTTTTTTGGTTTTCTCCATGAACCAAGTACACAGGCTCTAAAAATTAATTACATGTCAGGCAGTGAAAGACAAATACCATATGATCTCACCTGTAAGTGGAACCTGTAAGTGGAATCAAAACAAACAAGCAAGCAAAATATAACCAGAGACATTGAAATAAAGAACAAACTGACAGTGACCAGAGGGGCAGGGGTCAGGGATAATGGGGGGAAAAGAGGGAAGGGACATCAAGGAACTTGTACGAGGGACACATGGACAAAGCCAAAGGGGGCTAGGATCGAGGGTGGAGTGTGGGGAGCGCAGCGGGGAAAATGGAGACAACCATATGTGAACAACAATTTTAAAAAGAGAGAGAAAAAAATAACTGCATGTATGTCTTATTTTTAAATTAAAGAAATACAATAAAACTATACTTTTCCAATACATTTGTCTTACCAGGCATTTCTTTTATGTGTTTCAGACTATGAATGAGGTGCTGAGAACTTTCAGGCAATAAGACTGTTTGTTGATTTGGTTTGAAGACGCCAGAAACTAATTTTGCCAGTAACTTATTGGAAGCCACTCCAGCACAGCCAGTGAGACCCAGCCGGTCACACATGGCTTCCCGCATCTCGGCTGCCATCTGAGACCCAATAAGCAGTCTCCTGTGCAAGACGTCGTGCAGGTTTACAGCTATGAAAACAGCCAATGGTGTCAAAAGTCACCACAAAAATTTTTAATTTCCTCTTTTACAAATGACTTTAAAAGGGTACAGGATTTATTTAACCTATATTCAACACCCCCCACACACACCACCACACTGTCACCCACTTAACTAATCTGTTTTGTTTTTCACAGCGATTCTGTAAAGTAAGTAACTACAGGGTATGAACTCCAAGGGCCTGTGATAGAGAATGCACAGGAGTGTTAACTGATGAACAGACTATGAAAATTGATCTCTCCTAAAAAATTCCTACTGACATTAGTAAAACTCTTCTTCATGCTACCTGTAAGCAAGCATAAAGCATTGTATTAATAAGAAAGCCAGCATTATAGCTTTGAAGATCTGAATCTAAATTTTATGCACTAGATGTATAAAAACAATTTTAGATATGTACATATTTAAGAGTTCTTTTATCAAAAGTGTAGGGAAATGATCTAGAAACAACTTCTATAAGGTGTGAAAATGTTATTACAGTGACATGAGACAATCCTTACCCTCAGGGGTATTTACAAATCAAGTGTCATATCTGCAATTTACTCTCACATGCTCATCAATCAGTCAGCCAATCAATAAAGAGCAAGATAAAGCACATGTGGAAAATAGTAACAGGTATATCAACCAGGAGGGTATAATGAGTGTTCTCATTGTATTATTCCATTTATTTTTCTGTATGTTTAAAGAATTTTAACAAAATTGTGGGGCAGTGGAAGAATTCGTGAAAAATTGGACATTTTCTTTTTAGGATATAAGACCTAGCTCTCTGTGCTATGTTCTTAGCAATAAAATCTGAATTTGCTTTAAGAATTACACAGAAACATATTTGGAACATTCTTGCTTCTCAGCCTTAGTGAGTGACAAGAAACTACAGGTACAAAGGATAAGAAAAGCTCCATGTCTTCTTCTAGGAGAGAACTGTAGCTTTCGCCCTTTTCTTTCACGTCGGGAAGTGGAGAACTACATGGGGACTCATCACCAGCTCTCAGCAAAGAGAATAAGAGGAAGCACATGCAGAGACCTAGAAGCCAGGCGGTCAAGGCAAGTGATACACAAAAGCATAGCAGCTTGTCTTCCCTCTGGTATAACATGCAAGTCACCAGTGAAGTCACAAGATCTCTCAAAGTCTTATTAGATAGTCACTGGAGCTTATTTTCGAATGCAAATATCCCCCTGGAAGTACCAGCAGCCACTTATACTTTAATATATGAAGAAGATGAACCATTCTGCTTTCATGCTAAGAGCTGGCAAAGACGATCTGAACAAATTGAACAGGAGCTTGCAAAAGACGGCAGCCAGGCCGGGTCAGGCTCCCAGAAGGACTAACTCAGAAAGTCGGGGGCAACAAAACAGTCTTGGTGCTCTGGGGGAACAAAAGCAAGCAGCAACAAAGGCAAATTTCAGCTGCCTCAAAGTTTTGCTTAAAGACAGTTTGAAGAGAATCAAAAATTATTCTAAAAAGCATATTATCAAGCCAACTCCTCTAACGTAAGGCTCACCTAGAGAGGTATGACACTCAAAAATGGTAACGCCCAGACAGTGTCGAAGTGGGAGGTGTGCAGAGCACCGAGCTACAGGAGCAGCACGCATTTCAGTCACCCGGACAGATGACTGACATAGGCTGCACCTCCAACAAAAGCCATAAAATGTCCAAAGTCGGTTTTGGGAACACACTGAGCATTGAGACATGTAAGTGCTTTAAAACGACTGGACAGAATAAGTCCGATCCACTCACGCTGCTCGTTGTACACGTGACCCGACACGGTCAGCACTGCAAGTTCATCGCTTTGAAGCTGCTGTAGTCGCTTCTCCACCATGTCTGTTATATCCACAAAATTTTCATCAAATCCAAGCCTCTCAACAACTGGACTAAATTCTTCCAACAAGTCTGCATGTACAGAATATTGGAGCACAGACGCAACTGAAGTTACAATGAGAATACATTTAACTTTTATGCTTACATCAAATATGTTAGTAAAGGTTTTACATATAGCCACAGTTCCACAACATATTTAACAAAGTCCTTGTTTAACTGATTTTTTTTTCTGAACAACATTTTGGGTAAAGGCAAAATTTTTTCAACAAAGTCAGTCCAAAATGATATTTGCTGGGCAGATACTCATAGTGATACATTTAGCTCAACCTCCTATACTTATAATTTCTGTGTCTGCAGTACATTCAATATCAATGCTTATCGTTAATTATGATCTTGAAGCAGTGGACCAAAGAATAAATTATAGTCTTCCCAGAAAAGTAAAAACAAGTAATAATATATTCTAGCTACATTTTTCAAGAGAGTTTTTAAAGGCAAAACCAAAATTTATAATTTCTAATGATTACTGAGCCAAAAAGAAAACTCATTTAATTTTCAAAATACACCACAATTCGGTATTTTAATTAGCCATTCCTGAGCTAATTCCTTAAAGGCAGAGATAGACCACGATTTACAGGTACTTGAGTGTCCAACATCTAGCCTAATGCCTAGTCCTTAAGTCAAATGTTTACTAAACTGAACTGAACTAAGATTTGATATAAATTCAAAAGGAGTTATCAATTTTCATTTTTAGGATTAAGACTAATAACAACTTTGAAATCACCGAGAAGAATTTTCATTTCTCTCTGAATTACCTCTTGAAATATCAGCTGGATGGCAGAAAACACTCAGTATTTTTTTCACCTATGAGGTAAAATCTTTATAATTTGAGAATATCTAACAGTCCCACACATACTAGCAATTATGTTGGGACAAACTTAAGTGCAACATATAGCGGTATTCAAAATTTTAAGTGCAATAGATCAATTACCTTTGATCTATTATAGCAATTAACCTCTAGGGACTTAACTTATAAATACCCTCATAAAAGTATGCCCAAATTTCCCCATGAAAATGTCTACAGCAGCACATATTTGTAAGAGCAAAAAGTTGGTAACAGCCTAATAATCCATCACCATCAGGGAAACCATGAAATTTCTCATTCAAAACAAGACCTTTTTTACATAAAAGGAGCGAGTAGTAATAAGTATGCAGGGGCGTTAGGCATAAAGTGGGACACACAGTCCTCCTATCGCTGGAGGACCAGTTAAATCAGCATGGAGCGAGATGCAATGGAATACTGCGGGCATTGGAAAGGATGAGGAGCTGCTACGTGAATGACACGAAAGATCACCGAGAACAAAGGCAAGATGCACAGCTCTATGTGTCATGTAAATATTCTTCCATGACACTAAAAATTAACGTCTTAATATTCAGACACACACAGTTTTGCATAATGCACAAGCACTATTTTGGGAGTAGAGTCTTGTCTTTTCTGCATGGTTGTCCTTTCTCGCTTCCCCTCCCATTTCAGCACCGCCTCTCCCCGCCCAGAAGGTAACTAATGTTAACTCAGTATCTATCCTCTCATGTTTCTCTTCCTGTTTATATATACACATATACATATATGTGGGGGAGGAGTTTGTGCTATTGTTTTATACATATGGAAAACTGTAATACACTTTTTGTGCATCTTAACAAGGTAACTCAACAAGGTATATACGTATGAGTCACGTATACGGCACCAATGCATTCTTTTTAATGGTTACTTAACAGTCCTTCATAGTCTTAATTTAGTCATTCTTATCCTGATGAAAATTTGTTTTCATTCCATGCTTACCAATTATGAACCATGCTACAATACAAATTTTTGTACATACATCCTTAGGATTTTATTTCTTAAATTGCCAGAGGTTGTACCACTGGGTTAAAGACTTCAAAATATGTGTCTTTAACTTCAAAAATGTTTGCAGATTGCTTTTTCAAAAAAGCTACAATACTTTGTTTCTACTTTTTCTCACATTATTTTTTGCAAGTATGATGGATAGATATAAAATATCTTACTGATTCAAATTTTCTTAGACAATAATGAATTTGAGCATTCTTTTATCCAGATAATCATAGGACATTGTGTTTGCTCTTTTGGTCAATCACCTATTCATATTCTTTGTCCAATTTTCTTGAGTTTTTTTTCCTTGTTGATCTGTTAGTGTTTTTGGATATTATACATATTTAACCCTTTCATCTGAAAATGGCTACAAATAATAAGAGAACAAACAATAATAGTAGTAAAGAAGATAAATAGAAAGCTAGTTTTTAACTAATTGTTTTTAATTATGTTAAACATTACAGAAGCCTCTCTCAACTAACATTAATGAATTAGAGTATAGCATATTTCTTCATAATTCATTTAAATTTAAAATTTAAAATATTTGGCTTTCTTTAGTACATCTCCCCATTTTCTCCCTTTTAAATTTTGTTGCACTTATTTCATATTTACACACCAATCAGGACCTACTTCAAACTCCTCCCACTTGACATTTTGCATCAACACTACTTACATAACATCATCCTCATATACATTTTTAAAAAATGGGAAAGACCCAAAACAAAGTTATTAGCAAAAAAGAAACTGATTATGGCATTTTACATTTATTAGAAGATTTCATGAAATGAACAGGCATCCTCTATAAAAATTAGCCTCTATAAGGCTAAAAACTACTGCCTGTAATCTGTACCTGTAACCCTGTATGACATCTCTCTGTATCGAGTCAAGTCTTCTCCATTCACCAACACCAGCTGTGGACACTTTTCTTTTGCATCTCTAACATTCATAAGTTTCTTTACTCCAAGTTCCCTAGCTTCATAGTTGCAGGTAACCACCAAAGATTTCTGCTGAACCCCTATAAAAAATAAATATTTTATGAGAAAACTGAGTAGAATTTAAAGAAATATCTTAAAATATAGTTTACTAATCCTATATTATAATTGTAAATTCTAATACAATCTGTTTTGATTAAAAAAGCTGTGTCTCATTTAAAAAATACAGCCTCTATTCATCAAGTTCTTTAAAGTAAAATTTAACAGAAATGATCACGAATCAATAGATTCTATGTAATCTTCAGCAAAAAGATACAAATAAAATCATTCTAGAATTTTTTTCAGACAAAACCTGATTAAATTGTGCTGAATTAACTCTACATCTAAATCTAGCACATATTTTACCAAAAAAAAAGAAGCAGATGAAAAGAATTCAGTTAAATTAATTCCTGGAAACTCACTTATCTTCTGAGTAACTGTGTAATGAATATAAATCCATGTTCTGCTGTAAGTACCAGCCTACAGTAATTATCAGGTATCTCCTCCAATTGATGTTCTCATTATTGAACTGTTCTTCCTAATCATCTGCAGAGAAGATTAGATAATGTGGAGGGGAAGAGTATTCTGAGCCCCCAAATTTTTCTTAATATGGCTAATAAATCAGAATACAATGGACACAATGAATGAGTGCTGACCTTATTATACGACAAATATTATCAACATCCATAATTACCTAAAGGTTTGCCCTTTAGTTCCGGGTTTGAGATCATTTCTACTTGTGCATAAAAGCAATCCAGATCCAAGTGTACTATGACTCTGGAAGAACAACTTCCTGCTGGTACCACCTGATCATGAACTGATGCACGATATGAAAAGAAATACAAATGCTTATCAACTCTGAGCAACTGGCAATTCCTTAAAACATGGTAACTGAGAAAAATAATGCAAAAACAATTTTTAAAGTTTCTTTCCTGGATTTATTATACCTGCTAAAGCATCTAAAAATTACACACACGGGAGCAACTCCACCTACAATAGGGTCTTCAGTCCTGTTCACTTAGCATTTCTGTTTGCACTGTATTTTTCTCAAGAATAAACTTGAGGGGAAAAAGTCTTGATCAATAATGGACGACAAGAGACTATCCTCTCCCTTGAAAGTTTATAGTAAGCCCTGGCTGGTATAGCTCAGTAGATTGATGCGGGCCTGTGAACCAAAGGATCTAAGTTCGTATTCCCAGTCAGAGCACATGCCTTGGGTTGCAGGCCAGTTCCCAGCAGGGGATCCAGGAGAGGCAACCATATATTGATGTTTCTCTCCCTCTCGCCTTCCCTTCCCCTTTAAAGATTAAAGAAGAAAAAAAAAGTTTACAGTAAAATTTATGGTAAATTAGAGGGGTAGAAAAGTGTAAACACAGATTTCAACCAATTTACAAATTACTGTAAGTGGCATGTCCTTAAATTTTAAACAATCAGAAATACAGAATTGCAGAAGACAGAATTTTATGGGTACCCGTGAACTATATTTAGCTTCCATACGAAAGCAGGATTATCTGGTTCAGTGCTGAATCCCCAGTACTGGTAACAGTGCCTGGAATATAAGACTATCAATAAATGCTCACTAAATTGAAAAAAAAGATTACATATTTCTTGGACTTTAAAAAAAGTAGCTTATGTCATAGTCAATGGGGTGGGGGGGCCGGAGGGCGACACACAGGAAAGATGAAATTCCAGCTGTTACCAGTTTAAAAACAAGGCAGGTTAAATGCAATGTACTATTCTGGTTTGGATCCTGGAACAGAAAATATTGTAGTAGGAAAAAACAGGTAAAATGTGAATAAAGTTCGTATTTTAGTCAACAGTATTATGACAATGTCAATTTCTTAGTTTTGACAAATGTACCATGATGATGTAAAATACTAACACTGAAAGTTGACATTAGGGACAACTTTCTCCAACTTCGGAAATTCTAAAATTCTTCCAAAATGTAAGTTTAATTACTTAAAAAAAAAAGGCAGGGACACAGAGCCGGGGGACTCTGGCCCGAGGACAGACGAAACAAGATACAGTCAAAGCTAGAAGTGGGTCTGGAGAGGCGATCACTGCGCTCAAGCCTCGTCCAGGGTTCCTTCCGAGCCCACCCATTCCTCCCAGACCCAACAGAGGCCCAACCCCACCCCCAACGACTGCGCGACAAGGTTCTCCACGTCTGCAACTTTAAACTGCCCAGGAGCCTGCTTGGCTTTCATGGAGTTCTTTGAGGGGCTACTACAAATACACTCTTGCCTAACTAGGTGATGCCATCCCTCTCGGGGTCCTGACTGCAAAACACCAGGCAGCCAAGGGCAGCCCTAGTGGCAGACCCAGGAAGATGAAATGAACCAAGCAGGGCGGAGACGGTCGCACCCCAACGGCCGCCGCCGCCCAGGGCGTTCGCCCGCCCCGCCCTTCTCATTTACACCAGGGGAGGTTGCCAGGTTCCTCAGGCCCCCGCGCACCCGGCGAGCCGGCTAACGCCCACGCCTGCGCGGGTTCCATCTCCCGAGCCGCGGTCTCTTCTTCCGTTTAGCTGCCTTACTCCTCGGGCTCCACCCCCAGCTCCTCCAACCCGTGGCAGCCAACCACAGCGCAGCTTCCGGCAGCCTTCTCTGGGTATCCATGGAAACCGTGGCCCCACCTCCCCCAGCCATTTTTGGCCCTGGCGCATGCGTGGTGCAGGCCGAAAGGCCAGTAACGTAGAGGCTGGCGCGAGCTCCAGAACGTCTGGTTCCGGTTGCTGAGGTTTCCTCCCTCTAACTCGGGGCAGGATGTGAGGGGTTGCGTTGCAAATCAGCTCCTTGTTTTCTTGAGACCTTTGGTGTTATTACCTTTTATCTTTACCTCGAGGCCAGCCTGTTCTCCCTATCAATTTTAAGGGAAGATGCTAACGGTTAGACACAACGATGTATTGTGATGGAAGTGGGGAAACGGTAAAAATCGAGATGTGAGCCCGACGGCCACATAAACTAATGTGATTAACAAGTGCGTTAAAGTGTATTGCATTTTCTTTGCTGTTTGATTCAAAGAGACTGTGCCAGATTGAACCTATGAATTTCTAATCATCTAAACTGAATAGAAATTTAATGCAAGAGTTTTGGAGTCAAATTTAATGGAAGAGATTTTGAAATCTCTACTCCAGACCCATCAACTTGCTATGTGACTTTGGGCACGTTATGTACCGTATTTTTCGGACTGTAAGATGTACTTCCTCCAAATTTGGGTTGGAAATGGGGGTGCATCTCATAGTCCAAATGTAGCTTATCTGGCTTGCTGTTGGCGGGGGCTGGGGGAGGCGGTGGCCTACGTTATTTATGTTATTAAATATTTTACCACATTTTTTTGCTTCAAATTTTCTTTTCCTATTTTCCTTTTCTAAATCCTAGGTGTGTCTTATAGTCCTAAAAATACAGTAACTACTCTGAGCCTCAGTTTCTCCACTGTAAAAAAAAAAAAAAGTCCGGAGAATAAATGATTGACTAAACAAAAACTAACATTTACTTTAATATTCCAATGTATATAACACATCTACCTTCTGTTAAGATGTATTGTGTGCCTGTGTGTTTTTACAACAGAGGAAATTTGGAAATTTCTTTGTGTACATATATACATATATTCAACATACATGTTTTCACGGTATTCTGCTTTTACAAAGAGGATGTGAGAACCTTGAGAACACCTTTAAAGGACATGTTGGTGTATCCACAGAGGAGAAGAAAAAACAGGCAGAGCCAGGACTCAGTGGGTTGGAGACCACGTCGTCCTCTCGGATCTGGACCAGGGCCCTGAAGTCTAGTGTAGGATCTAAGTGATTTAGAGCCGTGCTGCTTTCTTTGTGAATGCCCTTTGGTAAGTCTAACTAAAGAACTTTTGAATTAAGTGCTTCCTTGGTCACTAAGTGCTTCTTGGCTGTTTTCAGGGGTGTCCAAGTACTTGCAGAATACTAAGCTTTTTTTTTTTAATTCCTTCATGTTGAGAATGATCCAAACTATGGACATACCATGGAAGATTAAAACTGTTCCTTTGTAAGAGCCATAGGCTCACTATACTCATCAGCTTCAGAAAAAGTGAGGCAGCTTGAAGCACAGTGCACAATAAAGCCCCCTTTAGCTTCGTTTGTCTCCCTGTCACTTGTCAAATTGAAGAGCAGCTTTTAATTTGATAATTTCTTAGTGATAAACATGAACACACATGTCAGTGAAGGGTGAGGGAGTCACCAGTGTCTGCTTCTGTCCTAGCTGAATTGGCCACACATGGTTCAGAGGAAGAACTCTAGACCCCATTCAAGGACTTTGACAGGAAGAGTGTAAGATTGTCCATGAGTGTCTGTATTTCATGTTGGTGGGTGGCTTGGTAGGTACAGGTTGACCATGGGGTCAAAGGAACAATTTGAATTGGCAAAGGCACTAAGAGCTTGGTTTTGTAAGGCCTTTGGCCTAGTGCAGTGGTCCTCAATCGGGGTCACTTTTGTCCCCTAGGAGATATTTGGCAATATTTTGAAAATACCTTTTGTGGTCATATCAGGGAACTAGAGCTCTGGCATCCAGTGGGTGGAGGCCAGAGACACTGCCGAACATCCTTCAGTGCACAGGACAGCCCTTCACAGTAAAGAATCATCCAGTCCAATGTGTCCATTGGACCAAAGTTGGGGCGCTCTGGCCTGGTAGTCTTGATACCATCCTGCAGCCCACCCCTAACACCCTCCTCAGTTTAAGGTCCCCAGTTGTAATAAAGAATTGATCTTCAGATATGTGCTCTTAATTATAAAGACATTTTTTAGAGAAAGGAGGATGTAAGAGAGGTAGACAAGTGTAATTTAATTGCTTTTTACTGTGGGAATCTACATTCTGAGGATGCATTTGTGAGAAAAAAAATTTTAAAAAAATATGCACATGTTTATGGAGCTTATGGGTTGCCCCTGGGGTGAAACGCTAATGAGTCACAAATAATTTACAAGGCTTAAATGCAAAACTCCAAAACACAGAAAGGCTTCGGATGGTTGAAAGCAAACTATAATTAGGATACACTGTTGTACAATGTGCGTGCCACGCAGTATTTAGTAATGCTCATCCAAGGATCTGAAATCCTTGGTATTAAAAACTACAGTTGTCATGAAGAAACTCTCTCTCTTTACCTTCTTTCCTCCCTTCTCCCACCCCCCTCTCTTTCTCACCCTTACACACCAAAGCCTCCGTTTCATGCTTTCTCAGTGTAACCTAAAAATATTTGCTGCATACCATGCAATTGTGGCTGATAGAAGGTGTAAGAAGCTGGAGTTTTTCTAACAGCTTCTCTGACCTTTTTTTGTGGTTCCTTGTAGTTCTGATGAAAAGCCTGCATAGTCACTTCGGTAATGACATTTAAAATGTTGCTTGTCAGGGTGTACTCAATGAAATCTGCCTCATCATTTTGGATAAAGAGAGGTGGGAACCAATGTGATTACAATACAAATCATTTGCTCAAGGTTTGTAAATAACCTCTGTAAACTTCAGCCTTTGAGAAAAGAGAACTGCTGGATGTCATATAGAAAGTGTGAGCACATTGACATAGGTCAGGTATACTGTGTTAGACTAACAAATACCAAACTTGAGTGTAACAATTATAAGAACTTTTTCTGACTGTAAAAGTAATTTGCGATTATTGTGAAGAATTTTTAAAACAGAGGAAGGAGGTAAGAAGCAATGGAAATAATCATAATAATCCATAATCTTGGTGCTCAGAAGTAACCATCCTGTGTTTTTTCATAAAGCACAACTTAAAAAGAAAGTTTTTTGTTTCATTTCCCAAATGAATTTCTGAATTTTTTTACCAAACCACAAGACCATTGTGAGATGCATTGCCTGAGTAAATGACATAAACAAAACTTTGTATACTTGTTTTTTATGTTAATTTAAGGAAATGAATTAATATGGTCTCAATATCATCTTGGTAATGTTAATAATTTCAATTTAACCAATAATCTCCATTTTCCTGGTTTAGATTAATATAAACTCCCCGTAAAGGAAAATAGTATTTATATTTATAGGATATATTTCTTTTTTTTAAATTTTTTTTAAAGATTTTATTTATCTATCTTTAGAGGGGAAAGGAAGGAGAGAGGGAGAGAAATATCAATGTCTGGTTGCCTCTCATGCGTCCCCTGCTGGGAACTGGCCTGCAGCCCAGGCATGTGCCCTGACTGGGAATCAACCACGATACTCTGTTTCGAAGGCCCGCACTCAATCCACTGAGCTACACCAGCCAGGGCGGATTTATTTCTTAAAGTTGATTTCAAGACTTCATTAAAGTACTTACTAATCCTAAAAGTACTGCCTGTGTCTCTGGTAAAACAAACAAAAAAAATTCATCCACTGTTTAAGACATTGTGGTGAGACAAAAAGGTACCAGATATAACGTGAAAATCCATCCTAACCCCCACCGCACCCTGAGATAACTGCTGCTAACAGTGTGTGTTACTATGCTTCATCAAGTTTTCTCTGACAACGTTTAACACAGGGTGGACGCAGGGACAGTCATTTATAATTCATGAGTAGGGTCATAGTATGCAGACTCTTCCTGAAGACTCTGCTTCACCAAGTTGTTTAATTTACTTTATCTTGAGCATCATTTCTTTTCCCTGTTGGAAAATTAATGGCATTCTTTTGAATGGATGCACTGTTTTAGCAGGTCCGTATTGATAGACACTTGTTGCTGATCTTCTGCTGCAGTGAGCATCCTTGTGCATTTTGTATATCTCTGCAACCTTCTTCAGAAGTCTGACCCCACCCTTCCCTAGGACTAACCGAATCTCCTAAAATTCTATAGGAATATTATCTGTATCTTTTCAAATTAATAAAAACCCTATGAAAGCATACAATGATACATGAGTCCTGTCCGTTCTTCTTCCAATCGTTCTTTCAAATCCCTCCACTTCCCTGCATACATGCTGATGCATTTCTCGTCCAGACCACACACACAGTCATCTCTGGCTTAGCCTAGAGCAGTGGCCTCCTACAGCTGGCCCATCTGTGGGTCCTAGAGAGATCCTTTAATAATGTATGATATAATGTGACTTTTCTGCTAAGAATCTTTCAGAGGTTTCCAACAAACAACCTTTAGAGGAAAATTCAAACCCCTTTCTCAGCATGGTCCTCAAGGCCTCAATGGGGCAGGATCCACCTTTTGTTCCTACTTCTCATAGCAGCTTACCATTTTTCCTTGCACCTAGCTACACCAGACACTAGTCCCCTTTCTGTTCTGCTGACATATATTTAGTCTGCAGCCATTAAGCTAGAGACCCAGGAGGGCTGATGGTATAGTTCTAGTCTAAGCCTAAGTCCTGAGAACTGGGAGAGCTGATGTAAATTCTACTTCAAGTTCAAGTATGAAAGCGGAATACTGATGCCTCAGCTCTAAGGCAGAAAGAGTGATCTTCTCCCTCATTTCAGCCTTTTGATTCTATTTAGGCCATGAACAGGTTGGATGAAACCCAACCACATTGGGGAGAACAATCTGCCTTACTCAGTCTATTTGAATGTTAATCTCATCCAGAAATGTCCTCATAGACATACCCAGAATA